TGTTAAATTGATAATGGTAAAATATATTATCTGTAAAATCTAACACAAATCTGACTATCCATTCCGTGATTATTAAACATACATTATGCACAAGCTAAATCTGTCTATTGCAGGTCTTTCTTTAGGCCTGAAATGTTATCTAAATTATTAATTAGACATTAATTAACCTATCCAGACCATAAACAACTCTATATGGCATCGCTAGCCTGCGATCTTTAGTGGATTATGAGCAGATTTACTGCATAACTTTCCTTCACGATTAACAGATAATCGAGACTATGCTGTTTATTGTACTGACTATAGTAATGATGATTGAGGCTAGGCGGAAATTTAAATCGCTTAGTTCTCGGTTCATAGTGACCAATTTGAATGAAATTTTCAGCAAATTGCCTTTACAGTATTTAGTTTCTAACTATTATAGTGAGAACTGCCAACTCGTTATCGAATCTCCCCTAATGTATCTTTAATAAATATAGGATGAGTTTCATGTATTTTTAGTTGTTTAATAAAAGCTTGTATAAAAAATAGTATCTTTCTTTTAAAAATCAACAATCCTAAACTTCGGTTCAAGGCGTGCTTTGCCATACAAAAAGATTATGCATGAAAAGCAGACAACTTTGCTCTAGACAACGCCCACTTATGTCACAGTCAACATGTTATGTATGTAAAATTTCCATTGAAAATTAAAATAGACTTGTATTGAACCATACAGTCAACATGTACATATAATTGAAAACATGACTTAAAAAAACACACACATACAAAATCTTATAATATTTAAAGTGCACATACACGTAGGGAACTTTTCGATACGTGTAGCCAATGGTTACTTTATCAACTTTACGGCTAGTTCACACCAATCTGATTGAAATTAATTCAGTTATCTTCACTCAAAGTCGTAAAAATAGACCTTCCGTTCGTAAAAACGACTTTGCCAATTATTGAAAACACTCTTAATCCCCTCAGACGCTAGTGACCAGGGCTGTCGGTAATTTTTCACAGTTGATTAGCAGCACTGCTAATCAAAAAGTCCAATTTTGCCAAATTTGATTAGAAAATTTAAAAATTGATTAGCAGTTTTTCAGTTTCAACATAAAAACCTAAATAACAAGATATTACTTTACTTCATAACAAATATGATTAGATTCCATTCTTACTATTCTTAGATTTTTTTTAACACTGCCACAAGTACTTGTGACAGTTTGTGAATGTGATGTAGACATTTAGTTAGGTCTTATGTCTGAAGCCAATTCTTAACAGTGACTTCCAAGGCCCCAATCATTTTAATTGTTATTTTTTGTTATGTTAGAAATCTTCGTTAGAAAACAATTTCGTCTGCTTTTTATCGTGTATTGCTATTTTTGTTCAATCGGGCGCACCTCGATTAACTAGACACACGCAATATTTTACGGGAATTTTTACTTTGATTTATCATTTTACAATACGTTAACATATATTTATTTTTTTATATTTTATTTACAATACGTGGGGGATACACTGGATTTCTTTCTTTCAAAATGAATATAATATAATTACTTGATGTCTCGCAACGTGAGTGGTACTACTTGATTCCCTATTTCCGGTTTAATAGTCACTATTCATAGAGTTATGTCCCTGTATTATATAGTACCGTATAATGAATTGTGTCTGGGTAGTTCGAGAAAAAAATGTCACACGGAGAATTCAGTTTTGTTTATAAAATTTTATTCAACATTTTATACACGTTGAAAGTGTTCAGAAAGCCTTTTAGTCTTCAAATGTGGATTATCCTTGTGTCAATATCCAAAATGACAGGCATATTAATGATTCCTAGTTACTGCGAATCAAAAACTTTAGATTTTAATTTTTGATTAGCAACGGATAAAATATGTATCGCAAATTGCGCTGCGATACTGGTTGTCGGCAGCCCTGCTAGTGACGTCACAGTGACCGAATGCATATTCGGAATGTTTACTCCTTAATTACCTATATACAGCTGGTGTGTGTATTCATTAACGCCTGACTGATTCCTTAATCCCCATAATTAAATAAAACAATTGACTACGGAATAATTTGTTTTGTAATTCATTTTAATCTAAGATCCAATTCAGAATTTGTTTCGCTCTCGTTTCTCATGACAGCAATTTTAATACCCTCTAACATCGTGTGCAGTCCAATCGATTCAAGATACATTTTCGTCAAAAGAGTATTGTGGTTCTAATTTCCCCGAGTAAAAGAGTACAGGAGTAAAAAGATGTGGTCATGCAAATGTATCATAAAATTCAAACATGATTGAAAAGCGATCCGTTATCATCGTACCGCTAATTTGACTTCATTACTCTGAAATAGACCGTAAAAATGAAATACGAAAAAATATCTCAATATACGTTAGAATTTACAGTACAAATTAACAGACAGATTGAGAAGGGCCATCTAACTATCTTTGTGTATTGATAATAATATGGCAAGCAGTGTCGTTAATATCTATCATTAATTAATCAATCTAGGGGTGATGATTTTTAATTCCGTTATTTTCCGTTTCAGAGCTGACCATATTCCGTTTTTCCGAGATAAAATGTTATTTTATGAATAAATGAATAAAACATCTTAAAATGCCTTTTATTACAAAACGGATCATTTTAAACCAATGATAACAAATGTTGAGAATTGTGAATGACTTGTAATGTTCAATGACTAGTTATTCTTTAAACCTGTTTCCCGAATTAAATAACAGAAAATTACATCTTGTGAGCTCGTTTCATCTTTTTAGCAGACGAAGCCATTTTTCTCAGCTGCTAGTTGTAGTCGCGATTTATCCAGACATCTTCGTAGTTAATACCGTTTCTTCGAGAATAAGGGCTGGATTCACAAGGCTACGGTATATTTGTGATGTAACATGGTTAATGCAGATAAACAGGAGTCACGAGCCCGGCAGTAAAATAAGAAGTAAATGAAACGATTTTTACTTTTATGAAGTGACAGAAGTTTTTTTTAAGACATATATACATTACAATGTTTAATTCAAGTTCAACTACAGAGTAATTGTATACAGGGATACATGAAAGACGGGTTTTCGTTTCGATTAAAATTATGATTCCTAAATGATGAAATGAAAGTAGCTAAATACTAAAATAGACAGTAACAAAACCATGCGATATCATTCAATATTTCCGATTTTTATGAATAAAAAGATGAAATACTTGGATAACTGCTTTTCCGTCTTTTTTCGTGTGAGATTTCAAATTCCGTTTTGATTGGACAATTCCGCGATCACGGAAAATCATCACCCCTATCAATCCGACTAAAGTTATACAGACTTGGGGTAATAAATTAATTTACATCTCGGTGTTAGCAGTGATTGTTAGTAGGATTAAGAATGCTGATTATGTAATTATCTTTTTTACGACGGTCAGATCAAAGACATCACTCTAGGTAGAACGTGTGCGTTGTACCCACAAATGAACTAATGGTAGAATCGTACACACACCTATTAATTGTATAAAATAATTAAGTTTTACTCAACAGTTGTTTGTAATTATTATTTACCCAATAATTATTGCTCACCGGTGTTTTTGTAATCAGGTAGCCTCATATTATTTGTTGACTGGCGTCTAAACAACATTTAATTGACTTGATATGAAATCTAAATATAAACTTTTTCGAGGGATAAACTTTTGTGATACGATTAGGTTAACTTCTATTTAAACAATGGCACCTTAAATGGATCTACGGCACGATACAGCATTTTAAATTCACTCTAAAATATTCCAATCACAAATGTCTAATCTATAACAACGCAAGACGATAATTCGGTGATTATGATTATGCCAGTCACATGTTAATTGGACTGACACGTACACACTTGTCAACGGGTGGTGTGTATTGTATAGATAATGTATATAGTATGTGTAGTGCCTGTGACGTCACCAGCCAATCAACCGGATTAAGGTTGTAAGTTGTAATTGAAAATTTGAAAACTATTTTTGGCTTTCGGATACTTAAACTTCAATAGCTGAATTAACTTCCCACTTAACCAAATCCATGGCCTAAGGCCAAATGGAAAGATTGCAAAATCATATTCTAAAAAACAGGAATCAGCTTCGGCTCTCCTATGTCTTGTCTGCGATATCACTTATGTGGAAGCAGACGTTAAACACCAAGAACGAACGAACGAATTAATTTTGACAAGCATGTCAACGTGCAGCTCACGGATTATTGTTAACAATTTCTAGGGGTTTGTAAAAAAGATTGCATGTCGTGTACATGTAAATATTTATTTTGTTTTTTGTGTAGGTCATTTTCAAATAAATTCATCAGCATATTATTCGTTTTAAATATATAACTTTTATGAGAAATGATGATTATCAAAGAACCGTAAGTGCAACTAACGTTTTATCGTTCGGTTGAGACTTTTACTAACCATGTTAATAAATATTTTCTTTCGTGTTTTGAATTGGCCTATTTCTAATAAATTATCCCAAGTCCCAAACGTTGTATACCCGAGTCCCAAACGACGTATACCAAAGTCCCAAACGACGTATACCCGAGTCCCAAATGTCGTGGTCATATTTTTTTTAGGCCTAGTCCCAAATGACATGTAATCGAAAAAGCATATCTGAGTGAATCGACAGAGGTTTGATTGCCTGACATTACGAATTGTTGAAAAAAAAAACGAGTCGAAGCGAGAGCATGTAAAATCTAGTCTTCAACAGGCATTGCATTCTTGTTCTTTTTTATTATATATTGTCTGATTGGACATGGTGTAGTATGCATATAATATATAGGCCTATATACACGGATAGGTCAGACTCCTGTGATTACAGCAGCTTATTATAGACATTTTGAATATTAGTATCGATGAACTGCTTATATACTGAATCCATTAACAATACACTGAATCAATCTACCTACGCCAAAGGGCAAAGGCGAGACAATGACAATATGTACATATTTACAGTCGGTCTGTCACATTCAAGTGTTCAGTACCGTCAATATCAAAATGATTATGATGAGAATCCTACCGCAAAGGGGTTCACGTCCCCTGGATCTGCAAACGGGTTACTGTCGAAGCCGGACATTATCTATCCTTGTAGATGTGAAGACAAAGTAATCAACTGCAATATGTATCAAATTTTACAACTTCTTCTATACATTTAACCAACATAAATAACTGATAATCAGAACACCATTCGTGAGGTGTTTTTTCTAAAATGGCAGATTACTTATGACGCATGCGCACAAGTTTATATCACATGAAATTACGTCATTTCTGAATTTAAGTTAGGTTGTCATCAGACTATGGCGAGTAATTCAATGGATTTATGATGAAGGATTTAATTCGATTAATAATCTATCGTTTTGACACTATTGAGTTCACATGGGATACGAAAATGTAGAGTATTTGTGACCATATGGCACGTGTCGCTTAACTTATGAATATTTATGAGCAAGGACCGCCTGACTTCCGGTATTGGATGAAAAACATGTCAAAATCATCACATATTTTCTGATCGTATTGTTTTGTTTCTGAATTTTATTAATTAGTGGCCATATTGTGATTTTCTATGTCTGCAGGTATCATGGCGGGAAATGGCTTCCAAACATCCTATGCGAACGACAAGCCCCCTTCCTCGACTGGAAGTGGAGAGGCAGCAGAAATGTCAACAGACCCTGCCAGCAGTAGCTTCTTTACAAGTGATTTTAAAAGGTATAATAATAATAATAATATTATTATTACACGTTGGCTAAGGCCTACATGTATGTATGCCCATTGCCCAATCCCTAATTTGGTATAATTTTGCAAGGGTTGATTTTGTAAGAAACATTATAATACAAGGTATGGATATATAAAATTTGATTGGTAATAATAATGGGTAGATTTATTTGACATTTCGACTATATCGGTACGCTTCGTAAATGAATATCCTTAATTTACTGGACGGGCCGCGGGGTTGTTTTAAAATATGATTGCGGCACTTCAACATATTTGCAAGTATATCTGTCATGACCAACACAATACACAAGTATTACAATACAATGCTCAGAGTAGGCCTAACAATAATGAGCAAAAACTATAAATAACAAATACCTTCACATGGAATCGTTGTCTACGATATCACCTTAGGTGGAAGTGGACGTAAAACCCCAGAAACGAACGAACGAACGAACATGGAATCAAAGATTTGGGCCACACCTAGAAGCACTCTACGACCCAATTTACAGTTTGAGTTAATATGTTCTGCAAATTAACATATCTAAAATTTTGGGCTAGACAAGGCCAAGCATGACATCAGTAAGCTAATGAGTATTAAATAAGAGAAAGAGAGAGAGAAATGGGTTTAACTTCCACTCGACACAAACTAGGTCATTTCGAGACTAACATATGGTTCATTTCTATTTCAATAATTAGCTTGCACGTTGGGGTCTTTAGGAGTGGGAGGAAACTGGAGGACTTGGAGAACACCCTCAAAGTTGGACAGGCGACCCTATTCCTTGTCACGTAGAAGCGAAGAATCGAAATCATGCCACTCAACTCAATGACAGACCTTTTGATCCAACGTGCACGCGTTGACCATTCAGCCACACCCAAGGTGCTAGAAAAATTAAGACTTAACCATTTTAAAGCGAGAATTTCAAATTTTCTAAGAAAGTCAAAACATAATTATTTCTATGTCTTTTGCTCAATAGGTTATCAAATCACTATTATACGATCATGGGCATTATTTCCCACCCTTAAAAATCTATGACACAAGAAATAACAACACAATTACCTCCCCTGTTTTGCTATTGACAACACGGGGCAACCATTTTCCAACGTTGGAATTTGAAGTTAAAAATGATACTTTTGCCAATTTCTCAGCTGGCAATAGCGAATTATAGGATTAATAGGATTATTCCTTAACAAGGTAGGACTGTTTATGGATACCATATCTATTTTAAGGCTTTATTTTAATACATTTTTAAAATATAACTTGAAAATTTGCAATTTCCGCTTTAACTCTATTTCAGGCACGAGGATTTGAAAGCAATGCTTGATAGTAACAAAGATACTCAGAAGTTGGAGGCAATGAAGAGAATTATTGGGGTGAGAGGAGGATCTATCATTTTAATGTCGTCATATATTGATGTCACACCCACTGTCATTTCCTTTTTTGAGAGCACAATTGGGGCGACAATGATATTTTTAATTTTATATCTCTTTGTTGAAAAATCTTGTTAGATTAAAAGTCCTATTGATTTTCAAAGATTGTCAAATAATAATAATTTTTAGGGGCATGTACCTTTGTTAGGAAATCTTAGAAATTTATTATAAACCAATCTTTTTATGATTACAGTTTTTTTTTTACTTTTTAGATGGTGGCTAAAGGAAAAGATGCATCAGATTTATTCCCTGCAGTTGTAAAAAATGTGGTCTCTAAAAACCTTGAGGTAATTAAAATAAAAACACTGATATTGTATAGACATTAAAGATACATTATGTAAGATTTAGATAAAGAGCTAGCCATTCTTGCTATAATAGTTCGAAAATAGATAATGTAAAATGAATAATTTGAAAATTTCTTTCAAATTAATCTATTGCCAGCGAAGATATTAGCCTTTGAAGGTTTGACAGGACGTGTGCAATAATTTCGACTAACGTACTGGTTGTTCGAGGCTAAGTCTCGTTCCTCCATTTTTTAACTTAAATCAAAATATGGCTGAACTGTTCTAATCTATTTAATATCGGAGAAATCTGTTGCTATCGAGAGTTGATTATGGCCTGGATAAGTTAATTAATGTCTAATTAATAATTTAGAAAACATTTCAGGCCTGAAGAAAGACCTGCAATAGATATAAGAGTAGGCGATAGTGCCGTTGCCTGTGCAAAATTCCCCTCATAGCACACTGTATGGCATATGCCTGTCTTCATTAGCCCAGATAGGAGCAGAGCAGTAGAACGTTAAACCCCATTTCATTTCATTTCATTTGTTGACTGCTCGGACGATTTAGCTGCTGTGGGCATATGTTTTGCTGCCTGGCAACCTTTCTTTATATATCTTATTCTGTTTCAGATAAAGAAATTGGTGTATGTATATTTAACAAGATATGCTGAAGAACAACAAGATTTAGCCTTACTATCTATTAGTACATTTCAACGAGCCCTGAGGGTAAGAATAATATATGAGTGACCGTCCTAGACATTCGCCAATTCGTCAATGGCGACAATTATTTTTATTGGCGAATAAATTGATGAGACTGGCGAAAAATTTGGCGAATGAATTTTAGAGAGTGTTATTTCGTAAATCTGCTAATATTAAACGCTTAAATTCTTTCGATTGACTCGATGGAGTGTCTATTTTTAGTACATTAATTACCCTAGTCTCAATCTAACAAGTCGCAAATCAGTCAATGTTACGCATTAAAACGACCGAAAGATCGAGTCTCGAGACTATAAAACACAGTTACGCCTCTTTTGTGTGGCACTGCATTGTTTACATTCGCTTCACTGCAAGTTTTCTTTACTTACGCAGCAAATAAATTAAATGCACAAAAATGACAACTAATACTAGTAAACCCAAAATAAGGATGGATTCCTTTTTCCTTCCGAACGACTACTGTTAGTCCAGAATCTACTTCCGTGAGTGAGAGTGTCATCTCGGACGGAAGTCCTTCATTGGATTCATCAACATGTGGACAAAAATTAGACCTTATTAACCGAGACCGTCAAGCTAGCCCTCAATGACCTCATGCATATATATAAAGGATGGACCGGAAAGCATAAATTTTGAATATGTCAGAGCATTTGATCAGTGGTGTCTTAAAAAGAATCGTCGTGTCTTTTCTGTTATGACGATGAAGTAAATTAAATCATGTGACTGTGAAGTACGTCCTATAAACATTTTTTTGTTATCTGCATTCATTCTCTCAATAATGTGAACTTTTGCATGGACAAGGTGATAAAATAATATTCTTGTGTACTCTATAAGTACATATCAAACATTTATTTTCATTTTTAATTAACAAACATATGAATAAAAATGGTATAAAATATTTGGCTAAAACTTTCTGAATTGGCTAATAATATTTTGATTTGGCTAAAGGTTTTAAGAGTCTAGGACGGTCAATAATATACGATATTAATAATCTAAAAGCATTTATAGTAAATGGATAGAGCAATATACACTGTAACCCAGGTATCATTTAATCTTGTGTATCTATCACTAATCTCTTTCACATTTGTTTAATATCAAATCTTTGTCTAAAATTTTGTAAAAAAAATTTTAAAATCACCAAAATTCATCTAATTTGTACTTGTGTTCGGTTTAAAGCTGACCATTCAGTTTTGATAATGAGTGTCCAATTTACAAGTGTTTAATTTCTCGATCAGTTAAAAAATAAACAACCCAACTGATTATTGATGTATAATGATTAATTTTTGAACAGTGGTCAGGAAATTAAATACTTGGTTTATGCGTGTGCGCTATATATCATACTGGTGTGGTTTCGATTCCCAGATTGTATGTGACAAGGAGTAGGGTCGCCTGTTTTATCCGGGTCTTCCGATTTCCTCCCACTGCTAAGGAGCCTTGCACACATGCGAATTATTGAAATAAAATTGAACCATGTTTTTGTCCTGAAATGACCTAGTTTGTGTCGAGTGGACGTTAAGTAAACAGACTGGCTTCCCCTTGCTCTGTCAAACTGAAAAATTCATGAGCTTGCTCTTTCAATATTTCAAATTATATATAAGCAAGCAAATTCAACACATTAATTTGACCAAAATGAAGTCGATAGTGGTCCTGTTATGTCAGTGAATTCATAAGTCTCTATGGAGATAAAGCCTTCAGTGTCTGTGGAGCCTGTTTGTAGAATAACTTACCATAGGAGATACAGAGTTCTCAAACATTAGCCATGTTCAAATCCAAACTCAAAACTCATTATGGATGGAGTGAGCGCAATTATAAATTTACATTATTATTATTATTTATTTTCAGGATCCTAATCAATTGATACGAGCCAGTGCTTTACGAGTTTTGTCGAGTATTCGTGTATCTGTTATTACACCAATAATGATGTTAGCTATAAAGGAGGCAGTGATGGACATGTCCCCTTACGTGAGGAAAACGGCAGCACATGCCATACCCAAACTATACAGGTATTAAGCTACAAATAGTGGTGGGGGGATTGGATGGCCGAATGGTTAGCACGTGCGTGCTGAATCATACGGTCATTGAGGCAACTGGTGGGGTTTCGATTCCCTGGTTGTACGTGACAAGTAGTAGTGTCGCCTGTCCATCCTCCGGTTTCCTCCTACTGCTAAAGACCCTACCTGCAAGCAATTATTGAAAAAAATTGAACCATGTGTTAGTCCGGAAATGACCTAATTTGTGTGGATTGGAGTTAAACCCCATTTGTGCAATAAATGTGAAACTGGAAATTAAAAATGTTTGTTATGTCTGTCCTGGTTCCCCCCCCTCCCCCAAAAGCTACTGAATGTTGTATAGTTCGATCGTCAAAATTTGTAAGGCTAAGCTAAGAGAGAGAGAGAGAGAAATGGAGTTTAACGTCCACTCGACACAAACTAGGTCATTTCGGGACTAACATATGGTTTAATTTTATTTACATAATTCGCTTGCGCGTAGGGGTCTTTAGCAGTGGGAGGAAACCGGAGGACCCGGAGAAAACCCACGAGGTTGGACAGGCGACCCTACTCCTTGCCACGTACAACCGGGGATTTGAAACCAGGCCAGTCGACTCAATGACAGACTTTATGATACAGCGCGCGCACGCTAACCATTCAGCCATCCAACCCGCCCGCTAAGCTAAGAAGAGAAGCAGATACTCTGTGTTCTATAAAATAAATTCTCTTCCCATTGCGCAAATGCAGTTATTGAAAAAATTGAATGATAAATTCGTCTACAGAATTGACTCAACCCCATTCCGTTCTGGCATTGATAGGTTTCTGGGGGGACATTCTTTTGTGATATTTGGCTCTCCGACATTGATAGGTTTCTGAGGGACATTCTTTTGTGATATTTGGCCCTCCAGCATTGATAGGTCTCTGGGGGACATTTTTTTGTGATATTTGGCTCTCTGGCATTGATATGTTTCTGGGGGACATTCTTTTGTGATATTTTGCCCTACACAAACAAATTAATTAAACAATGATTTTTATACTTGATATATTTTCTAGTTTGGATCCCGAAGTTAAAGATCAATTAATTGAAGTTATAGAAAGATTACTGGGCGATAAAACAACAGTAAGTATTTTTTGATGCGGCTAGGTTGAACAGATCCGTCTTTCTGATGTTGGTTTTCACTCAACTTGAATAGGTCAGAGTCACATTTAATTGCATTAAGGGGTGAGGCTACCCGAAAAATGTTTTCTGAAATTTTAAACTTAAGCCTTATTGAATTGAACATGGCACACTTAGTTAGGAAATGTAAAAAACAAGTGAAAACTAACATTAAAACGAAAGAAAAAAAAGTTGTTGCTAGGGTAACACATTTTTTTTGTAAAAAGTATGAAAAATGTAGGTACACCATATCTCTGGCACTAATAAAGATAAATGTCTCATTTTCGGACTGCTTATTCTTTAATAATAACCCTAAAACCAGACAAAGATTTTTTCTCTATAATTTTTATAGTTTCTTGGAAAATGGTGTTTAAAACATTTGCCTCACCACAATATTTTGTCTTTGGAGAAATATTTTGATAACTTTTGAAATATTAATGATAATTCAAACTGCTTTTTTTTTTTTTAATGCTAGTTTTCTCTTGTTTGTTACATTTCCTAACTACTTGTGTCATCTTCAATTCAATAGCTTTAAAATTTCAGAACACATTTTTCAGGTAGCCTCACCCCTTAAATGACTCCCAAGTTTTATAATCGTACCTCAATCTTATTGTTTTGTTTATAGCTTGTAGCGGGAAGTGCCATTCAAGCGTTTGAAGAAGTTTGTCCGGAGAGAATTGATCTGATTCACAAGAATTATCGTAAACTATGTAATTTGTTAGTAGATGTAGAAGAATGGGGACAAGTTGTAATAATAAATATGTTAACCAGATATTCCAGAACACAATTTATTAGTCCTAATCAAGCCGTAAGTATAATAATCCTCGATCAATCTGTTAAAATACAGATCCTATTTCGTTTTGGTTTGGTTTCCACTTGTCAGTGATGCAGGACGGAGGGCCTGACAAGGTTAGCCGTCTGGTTGTTTGGATAGGATGGAAAACCGAGTACCCGTGTACCCATTGGCGTGTACGTAAAAGATCCCTTGCCAGTTGGAATTCGATATAAGAGTAGGCCGTAGAACGCTGCCCGGGCAAAATTTCCCTCATAGGTCGTTAAACCCCATTTCATTTCATTTTGTTTCGTTTCGTTTTTTATAGTTCAAAGTTTTGTTTTACACTAGGGTCTGGAAGAGTTGTTATATAATCCGCATTCTGGATGATATGAGAGATTAGCTAATGAAACGGTCTGTTTCGTCGAGTTTTTGGCGTGAGGTGGACAGAACTGTGGGTAACCCACTAGAAACATCAACGCTGATTGGTTAGTCAAATGTCTGACGTCATATGGTCAAAAGCCGCTTGTATGACCTCTGACGTGGTATAAAAATAAAAAAAACGGAATATAGATCTGTATTTAATCAGATTGGAGTTTCATGTTAGTCCGTTTATGGGTGGATTAATGGTCCTTGAGTTGTGAATCACTTGTCTGTCATCTATGCAAGCCTTGAATATGACATCACGACTGTATGAGGATAATCAATTCAACGTTCCAGAATTTAATTTACCTAGAGACTTATCATCCTGTTCCTTGCTCATTTGGGGGTTTGATGGCCGAATGGTTAGCACATGCGCTCTGTATCATAAGGTCTGTCATTGAGTCAACTGCCGTGGTTTCGATTCCCCGGTTGTAAGTGACAGGGAGTAGGGTCGCCTGTCCAACCTCGTGGGTTTTCTCTGGGTCCTCCGGTTTCCTCCAACTGCTAAAGACCCCTACGCGTAAGCGAATTATTGAAATAAAGTTGAACCCAGTGTTAGTTCCGAAATGACCTAGTTTGTGTCGAGTGGACTTTAAACCCCATTTTTCTCTCTCTCTTTTTTTTGAAAAATGCACCCCCAAAAAGATTAAAATTATATTTAATGAAAAATATAAAATATAAAGCTTATACACGTAATTCATTTAATCAATCTTTTGACAGGATGGACCAGGAGATGCCGACCGTCCATTTTATGAAGATTCTGATAAAGAGGAAGAGGAAGAAGAAGTGTCAGAAATGAAGAAGACACCATATATGATGGATCACGATCACCGATTACTTTTACGTCAAGCTAAACCTCTTTTAAACAGTCGTAACGCTGCCGTACGTATTATATATAAAATATCTTTTATGTCAAGCTAAACCTCTGTTAAACAGTCGAAACGCTGCTGTACGTATTATATATACAATATAGTGTTAAACTTTAATCAACAGACTTAATTCTGCTACTGATTAGGGCCGTCAAAAGATATTGCTAAATCGATATATTGCAATGCGGTTGTTCGTGATATACTGTATCGATATATTTTTGCTGTATCAATATATTTTTGCTGTATCAATATATTTTTGCTGTATTGATATACTTTTGCCTTGTCAATATTTTTCCACTTTTATATTCAATTGTTTAAGAAAGACTGTTTATAAAGACTTCATAATCAGTCATATTATTTAGGCTTTGCAGTAAACAATAAGTCTGCTAAACCAAGACCAAAGTGACATGTATATTCACATAATCAGCCATATTAAATAGGCTTAGTTGTGAAAACAATCAAACTATTCAAAGTAAAACTGTGCTTTGTGATCAACTCTGACTTTATGTTAGTCCCAAAATGACTTAGTTTGTGTCGAGTGGACGTTAAACTCCATTTCTCTGTCTCTCTGTGTGTGACAATGTCTGCGACAAGTGCTTTATGACCATGATCCTTATTCATGTATTTCTGTTTTTATATCAGGTTGTGATGGCCGTCGGACAATTATATCATCACTGTGCTCCTAAATCAGAAGGAAATGTCATGGCAAAAGCTTTGATTAGATTGTTACGTAGTCAAAAGTAAGTTATTTTATATGTCTGGGTTTTGTATTCCTGTTTTGATGATTTCGAAATAGCCGTCAAAGTGGCTGAATGGTTTAAAGCATGCTCTTTAGATCATGAGGTCTGTGAAAACACTAGGGACCGGGTATCATTCAGATTTGACAGAAAAAGGAAAGAAACTGAGCTTACCATCTAGAATCTAATACACATATCCAATAGATTGCCATCCAGAAAGTATTAAATGCCGTTGTCAAGATTCATCAAAAAACGTCCAGTTTGTGCTACATGTAGTTTAAGAAACACTGTTTAGTTTTGACATCGGTCGTCTAGCTTATGAAACTAAATGGTCTTAAACCAGACGACCAGAGAGTGGCGGACCCAGGATTTATTCCAGGGGGGTGACTAAAACAGGTCAGGGGCGAAGCGGCAGCACTAGAAGGGGGGAGGGCATAGGGTGTCCAAAGGGGTTAAAACTATTTTGTGGTATCTGAGGTATCTTCTGGGCAATAGTTCTCAAAGAAATAAAGTGAAAACCCCAAAAACTTGTCCGATTTAGCGTTTTTTTAAATCTCTCAGGGGGGTGACTAGTCACCCTAGTCACCCCCCCTTGATCCGCCACTGATATCAAAACTAAACTAAATGGTCATAAACTAGACAACCAATGTCAAAACTAAACAGTGTTTCTTAAACTACATGGTACCAGAAACTAGGCGTTTTTTTTGATGAATCTTGATGGCATTTAATACTTTCTGGATGGCAATCTAGTGGATATGTGTATTAGATTCTAGATGGTAAGCTCAGTTTCTTTTCTTTTTTCATCAAATCTGAATGATACCGGGTCCCTAGTGTAAGTAGAGAGCCACAGTGGCTAAGTGGGTAAGACGCTGGCTCGCTAGTCTGGAGGTTGGGTGTTCGATCCCTGCATTGGCCGGGAAAGTTCATCCCAGCTGTCTAGTCAATCGGATGGGACGAAAAACCAAGGTCCTGTGTACACATTAGTGTGCACGTAAAAGATCCCTTGGCAGTTAGAATTCGATATAAGAGTAGGTCGTAGCGCCGCTGCCCGGGCAAAATTTCCCTCATAGCACACTGTATGGCGTATGTCCGTCTTCATTAACCCAGTTTAGGAGCAGAACAGTAGGACGTTAAACCCCATTTCATTTCTTTTCATTTCTGTCATAAGTGGCGTGGTTTGGATTCCCAGCTTGCATTCAACAAGTAGTAGTCTTGCCTGTCCAACCTTGCAGGTTTCTCCTTGTCCTCGGGTTTCCTCCATCTGTAAAAGACACCAAAGCGCAAAGGAATTATTGAAATGAAATTGAAACATCTGTTAGTCCTGAAATGACAGAATTAAACTCTTTTCTCTTTTTCTCTCTCTCTTTCAAAGTTATGTGTATGAAATTAGGTTGGGCAAAATGAAAGATTTTAACTGTATTTTTTAGAGAAATTCAGTATGTAGTGTTAAGTAACGTGGCGACTATGACAAGTAGAAGAAAAGGAATGTTTGAACCACATTTAAAAAGTTTTTACATCCGTTCTAGTGATCCACTACACATCAAATTATTAAAGGTAAGATGACAATTTTATATTTCTAAAAACATATTAAAGGTAAATATACAATTGTTTATTTCTGAAATTGTTATGGGTAAAATGACAATTGTATATTTCTAATATTGTTAAAGGTAAATATTATACAATTGTATATTTCTAAAATTATTAAAGGTAAATATACAATTGTACATTTCTAAAAACTTCTAATTGTACATCGAAGCAAAGGGAACAAACAATGAGGAGTAGGCCAAAGCTCTGCTGTCTGGCAAAAATCTATTACCTCGCACTCAACACATAACAATACAAATAACTATACGCTTGTTTTAAAAAAGAGAGTGAGAAATGAGGTTTAACGTCCACTCGACACAAACTAGGTCATTTCGGGACTAACATATGGTTTAATTTTATTTCAATAAATCACATGTGCGTAGGGGTCTTTAGCAGTGGGAGGAAACCGGAGGACCTAGAGAAAACCCATGAGGTTGGACAGGCGCTTGTTTTAAAATGACTGAAGTTGAAGTGTAATGCTGATGAGACCTTAAAACTAAACATTATCTGACTGCAAAGAATCTTGAAACATAATCTTATTTCTTTTATTAGGGGGGTTGGATGGCTGAATGGTTAGCGTGCGCGCGCTGTATCATAAAGTCTGTCATTGAGTCGACTGGTGTGGTTTTGAATCCCCGGTTGTACGTGGCAAGGAGTAGGGTCGCCTGTCCAACCTCGTGGGTTTTCTCCGGGTCCTCCGGTTTCCTCCCACTGCTAAAGACCCCTACGCGCAAGCGAATTATGTAAATAAAATTAAACCATATGTTAGTCCCGAAATGACCTAGTTTGTGTCGAGTGGACGTTAAATCCCATTTCTCTCTCTCTATTTCTTTTATTAATTACCATCTTCTGTAATTTGTTGGGGAGGGGGGAGGATGGCCGAATGGTTAGCATGTGCGCGCTGTATCATACGGTCTATCATTGAATCAACTAGCAGGGTTTCGATTCCCTGGTTGTACGTGACAAGGAGTAGCGTCGCCTGTCCAACCTCGTGGGTTTTCTCAGTGTCCTCAGGTTTCCTCCCATTGCTAAAGACCCCTACGCGCAAGCGAATTATTGAAATAAAATTGAACCATGTGTTAGTCCCGAAATGACCTGAGTCAAGTGGACGTTAAACCCCATTTCTCTCTCTCTCTGTAATTTGTTTTTCCTGTTTTGACTGTCAGAAGAATCTGTGTGTCATAAGATTTTGTATAATATATTTCAGCTGGAGATATTAACAAACTTGGCTACCGAGAGCAATATTTCTACCATACTGAGAGAATTTCAGGTCAGTAAATTTCCTTTTTATATGCCCACATTTTTATGTGGACGTATATTGTCGTCGCCCTCTCCATCCATCCGTCTGTCCGTCCACAATTTGTTTGTGGACACGCTACAGGTCACAATTTTTATCCGATTTTGACAAAACTTAAATATAGAAGTCTATCTCCCAAAGATCTCGGTTTCTGTCGAAATTGGCATGTATCGGACCGTAACTTCATTATTATGGCCCCTGATTGTACGAAAAATCACTGTTTTAGCTTGTGGACACCCTAGAGGTCACAATTTTCATCCGATTTTGATGAAACTTGAAACTTATGTTTATAACCCAAAGATCTTGGTTCATTACGATATTCGCGCATATCAGTAGAAATTGCATTTTTAGCTTGTGGTCCCTCTACAGGACAAGATTTTTATCCGATTTAAAAAAACGCTTGAATATATCACCGTTACACCATAATGTTAGTGGAATTGGAATTTGATCCGATTTTGATGAAACTTTAAATTTATGTTCATATCACAAAGATCTTGATTCCTTTCAAAATTGCGCATATCGGAACGTAACTTCCTGGATTATGGCCCCTGATTGTACGAAAAATCACGTTTTTAGCTTTTGGGCCCTCTAGAAGTCACAATTTGTATTCAATTTTAAAAACTGTAATTGAAGTAAATGTTATTTATTTTAGACATACGTAACTAGTCCAGATAAAGATTTTGCTGCAGCTACTATACAAGCTATTGGTAGATGTGCCAGTAATATAGCAGAAGTAACAGATACCTGTTTAAATGGTTTAGTTCATCTAATGTCGAACAGAGATGGTAAGTTCATTCATTCTTCATTTACTCATGTACTTTGATTTTTTATCTTTGTTGCAGAAAACAAGTTTGTTGCTTGTCGTGTTTGGGTAAGGCGCTGGCTCGCTATCCTGGAGGTGGCGTGTTCGATCCCTTCATCGTGTTCGATCAGGATTTTCTGACGTTGTTTCCCCTTGTCAGTGGTGCAGGACGAAGGGCTTGACAAGGACAGCTGTCTAGTCGTTTGGATGGGTTGAAAAACTGAGGTCCCCTTTATACATTCGCATGCACATGAAAGATCCCTTGGCAGTAGGAATTCAATATAAGAGTAAGCCATAGGGGCCCTGCCCGGGCAAAATTTCCCTCATAGCATACTGTATGGCGTATGCCTGTGTTCATTAGCCCACTTGGAGCAGAACAGTAGGACTTTAAACCCCATTTCATTTCATTTCATTTTGTTTCGTTTCGTTTTTTATAGCTCAAAATTTTGTTGTTGTGTTAAGGAAATGTGTCCAGTTTTTTGTATTTGATGTGTATCTCCAAGATAACTTAGCCAAGATAAAAAAAACTGTGTACCAATTAGGTTCCCATTGGGATAATAACCACCAAAAATTATGCCCAAGACAATTTGAAAATCTATTAGAGGTATACCGGTAAAATGCTTGGATGTAAAAGAAGTAATAAATTATAACACATACATCTGGAAGAACAATTACTAATCTATTTTGAGCGACGTTTCAGAGAGTATTTTCTCAGCGTATCCATGCTTGGAATCATTAAGAGAATGCTCTTGAGAAACATCGCCCAAATAAATTAGCAATTGTTCATCCAGAACTATGTGTTATAATTTATTAAATGCTCCTTAAAGGAATATTCTGAAATTCATTTAATATTATAAAGTGTATTATAAAGTGTATTGAATATTATAAAATGGATTTATTATTAGAAAGTGTATTGAATAGTATAAAGTGTATTGAATAATATCAAGTGTATTGCATATTAGAAAGTGTATTGATATTTACAGAAAGTGTTGTTGCTGAAAGTGTGGTAGTTATAAAGAAACTTCTACAGATGAGGGTAAGTAATATATTAATATATAAACATATGTATAATATATTGATGTTGTAATTACCACTAATTCCACCACTGTCTATGTCATTCTCTTACTTACTGTCAAACAATAGTTATAATAATCTTACTGTCAATCATTCCATCTCAACGTCATTTGAATAATCTTGGAATCCCTTGCTTGCGGCGGGGGGTGGATGGCCGAATGGTTAGCACATGCGTGCTGTATCAAAAGGTCTGTCATTGAGTCGACTGGCGTGGTTTCGATTCCCCAGTTGTACGTGACAAGGAATAGGGTCGTCTGTTAAACCTCGTGGGTTTTCTCCCGGCCCTCCGGTTTCCTCCCACTGCTAGTTGATTGAATCGGGGGGGGGGGGGGGGGGAAATAAACCAACATGATTCTATATATACAAATTAATAGTACTCATAAGACATCCCTTGGCAGTTGATCGAATTAGGTGGAACCAAAAACGAAACTAACCAGATTCAAATTTGCCCACTGTCTTTGCACATTTAATTTACAATAGATATATCAAATTATTTGAATGAAGTATCAAAATGGGGGGTTGGATGACTGAATGGTTAGAGTGTGCACGTTGTATCAAAAGGTCTGTCATTGAGTCGACTGGTGTGGTTTCATTTCCCCGGTTGTACGTCACAAGGAGTAGGGTCACCTGTCTAACCTCGTGGGTCCTCAGGTTTCCTCCCACTTCTACGCGCAGGCGAATTAATGAAATAAAATTAAACCATATTTTAGTCCTGAAATGACCTAGTTTGTGTCGAGTTGACGTTAAAACCCCATTTCTCTCTCCCTCTTAGTATCAAAATGACTAAAGTATTTGATTTGACTTCAAAATGACTAAAGTATTTGATTTGACTTCAAAATGACTGAAGTATTTGATTTGACTTCAAAATGACTGAAGTATTTGATTTGACTTTAAAATGACTAAAGTATTTGATTTGACTTTAAAATGACTGAAGTATTTGGTTTGACTTCAAAATGACTGAAGTATTTGATTTGACATCAAAATGACCAAAGTTGATTTGACTTGAAACCTATTTCTATTGTTTGGCAGTAAGTAACTACTAATATATTCTGTAAAGCAAGAAATTAATGCTTACATTTTAAATAATGCTAATATTGCTGATGACCCCAGGTCACAAGAGTCTTTATCATCATTTATACTATGTTCAAAATAATTCTGCTCGATTATGCAAAATCTAAGCTCAAAGCACTCTTTGAAAACCACGACTGCAATCTGAATTCTGTATCTTTGTGATGGTGTAGCAGAATTAAATAAAATTGTGTATACATGTACCTTCGATTGACAACAGTCATCCCTTAAAAACCAAACGATTCTTGCTCTACGGTAAAGTATATTACTTATGATAAGGTGTTAGGCCATGTAAAAAAAATATTCTGATTCTCGGCATGGGGTTATGTTTATGGTTTTATTTTGTGAAAGAATCATAAACATCACTTTTACTTTTTGTCTCATCTGGAGGTTCGATGGCCGGATGGTTAGCTCGTGCGCATTGTATCTCAAGGTCTGTCATTGAATCAACTGGCAGGTTTCGATTCCCTTGTTGCACGTGATAAGGAGTAGGGTCGCCTGTCCAACCTCGTGGGTTTTCTCCGGTCCTCCGGTTTTCTCCCACTGCTAAAGACCCCTACGTGCAAGCGAATTATTGAAATAAAATTGAACAATGTGTTAGTCCCGAAATGACTTATTTTGTGTCGAGTGGACGTTAAACCCCATTTCTCTTTCTCTCACTATTGCCCTTAATAACTTTGAAAAATCTTGTGGACACTCTAGTTGTTTTTTGAAAGAAAAAAAAAACAACATGGGTCCCTTTTCAAGTATGTGAGAATCAGAATATTTTTTTTATAGGTCCGTAGCCCTATATTATTGTAGTTTATGTATCTATCTATATATGTATATATAGCCTGTAGTATGATTCCGTGTTTATTTATCTCTTTGTCGTAGAAATCTGGACACAAACACACGGTAGGATTTTAGTTTTGCGGTTAAATGGGATGTTTATTTCTGTTTATACACTGGGACCTTACTGTAGTGTGGTTTTATAGGGGTCAGCAAGGCTGCCCCCCCCCCCCACTTACTCTTTAACGTAGCATCAACGAAATGGCAAGACCTTGTAATGCTTTTATTCCTAAACATTGTTCTTTTGATTTTCTGTAATAATAGGCTAATGCATGTTATGATAAAATCTTGTAGCTATACCTCAATTAGAAACCAATTCTTGAATCGTGTGACAAAGCTTCGTAAATCAAATTATACAGAAATACTAAAGGAAATACAAACTACTGATCACATCAACAGCCTAATACAAAACAAGATTTATTATCGATATGAAATCCTCAATATGTTATTCTAGGAAGAGTAAGCATACACTGCCTTGTGTACGACACCCATCACTATAGTTTTGGTACAATGAATATAGTGTCAAGTTGTTGTAATTTCGGAGAGGATATAAGGATCTTGCTATTCACTGTAACCCGAGTATCATTTAATCTTGTGTATCTAGCACTAATTTCTTTCACATTCGTTTAATATCAAATCTTTGATTTTTAGTGAATTTAAACAATTTTTACTAATTTTTAAACAAAGATTTGATATTGAATGAATGTGAAAGAAATTAGTGCTAAATACACAAGATTAAATGATACCTGGGCCCTGTTGCCCGAAATCTTAGCTAAAGATAACATCCAAATTTTAGTAGATACTTCAATTTTGATTGGCTAAGCACTAAAATCAATCTAATATTATCCAATCAAATTACTAAAATTTGGATTTTATCTTAGTTAAAATTTCGTGAAACAGGCCCCTGGGTTACAGTGAGTGTGGAGGCAATCAAAACCAACATTACAGTGAAGCCCCATTGTATATATACTATGATCACTTGCTGGCTATGGTATCTTTTGTATAAAAGCATTTTTATATATTTCTCTATGTTATGGTGTACTGCCCTTGGCATGGCCTTGTTCTTATCAAGTAGATTTGCTTTATTGTACTGTATTCTTGAAATTAATAGGAGTCAACTTAAAGATACATCATACAAGAGCTAAATCTATCTATTGCAGGTCTTTTTTTAGGTCTGAAATGTTATATAAACTATTAATTAGAGATTATAAACAAAACAAAACCATAATTAACTCTCGATGGCATCGCTAGCCTGTGATATTTACTGGATTAGGATCCGATTTGCTGCTCAATTTACATTCATGATTTAATCATGAAATGGATAATCGAGACTATGTTTTTTTATCGTACCGACTTTAGTAATGATGATCGAGGCTAGGCTGAAAATTCAATCGCTAAATTCTTGGTTCAAATTGCCTTTACATTATCTAGTTTTGAACTATTATAAGAATAACGACCAACTTTTTATCTAATCTTCCATAATGTATCTTTAAGTCTTTGTAACAGAAATACAAACAAAAACAAGATGTTTGTTCAGATTTGTTTCCAATCATTAGTTCTTCCACTTCTTCAAGAACTTTTAACAACAAAGGAAATCAACTAAAGATATCATAATGTTGCCGAATGTAAAATTGTAAAGGAATTTGGTAATTGTAAATATCTATGTTTTTTGCATGTTTTTTTTCTTTATCATATTTATGTTAAAGGGAGACGGGTCTTACATAGGCTAGACCTGAATATAAATATTGTTTAAAAAAAAATTATTTAATTAAATGAGGAAGTATCTTCGACTGTCTAGTGATTGAATATGCATTAAAATAATACAAGATAGTATTTATTGAATATGCATTAAAATAGTATTTATGGTTAAAATATCTGAAGTATGTAATTTTATTGCATATTTATTTGTTACTGACCGGTATATGTCACAGCCTGTCAATTCTCTTTCCAGTGACCCAGGAGTAGGGTCGCCTGTCCAACCTTGTGGGTTTTCTCCAGGTCCTCCGGTTTCCTCCCACTGCTAAAGACCCCTACATGCATGCGAATTATTTAAATAAGATTAAAACCATATGTTAGTCCTGAAGTGACCTAGTTTGTGTCGAGTGGACGTTAAAATCCATTTCTCTCTCTCTCTCTCTGTCATTGAGTCAGCTGTTGTGGTTTTGATTTTCCCGGTTGCATGTGTTAAGGAGTAGGATCGCCTGTCCCATCTCGTGGGTTTTCTCTGGGTCCTCCGGTTGAAATAAAATTGAACCATATGTTAGTCCCGAAATGACCTAGTATGTATCGAATAGATGTTAAACCCCATTTCTCTCTATATCTCTATTTGTGCATATTTTAAATCTTAGAAACATAAAATTTGATTATGTCTAAACATTTTTTTATTATTATTGGATATGTGTAGGTTATCTCATTTTATGGATACTGAATAGGCACATCCTTAAGAGGGCAGAAATGACTTGAACAGTAATATTTGCCCAGAATTCAGACCAATGTTGGCTTAATCGATCTGTTCGATCCCTGCATTGGCCGAGAAAGTTCCTTGGGATTTTCCGACGTGGTTTTCCAACGTCAGTGGTGCAGGACAAAGGGCCTTACAAGGACAGCTGTCTAGTCATTTGGAACGGACAAAAAAAAAAACGAGGTCCTGTGTACACATTGGCATGCACATAAAAGATCCCTTGGCAGTTGGAATTCGATATAAGAGTAGGCCGTAGCGTCGCTGCCAGGGCAAAATTTCCCTCATAGCACACTGTATGACATATGTTGGTAAATGATAAGGGAGCCACGGTAGCTAAGCAGGTAAGACACTGACTCGCTAGCCTTGAAGTCAATTGTTCCATCCCTGCATTAACCGAGAAAGTTCCTTGGGATTTTCCGACGTGGTTTTCCAACGTCAGTGGTGCAGGACAAAGGGCCATACAAGGACAGCTGTCTAGTCATTTGGTTCGGACAAAAAAAAAAAATGAGGTCCCGTGTACGCATTGGCATGCACGTAAAAGATCCCTTGACAGTTGAAATTCGATAAAAGACTAGGCCGTAGTGCCGCTGTCCAGGCAAAATTACCCTCATAGCACACTGTATGGTGTATGCCCATCTTCATTAGCTCAATCAGAGCACAACTGTAGGACGTTAAACCCCATTTCATTTCATTTTCGATAAATGATGAAACATTACATCAATACCATGACTAAATATTCTGCTTGACTTGACTTGACATCAGACTTCACATCCACTTCCAACTTCTGGGATATCGCGGACAAGTGTTTCCTAAGAAACTTGCAAGAGGCTCGTCTAGCGTGGGTTGGACATAAATGAGCCATTAAGGCATTTTACGGCTTCCATTTCCTCAGTTAAAGGCGCAAAACGTGCCCTTGAGTTAAGAGTGTCCAAAGGTGTTGAATTTTCTGCTTGGGTTTGTTTTTTTTTCCAGCAGCCCTATTTCTATATTCCAGCCCTATTTCTATATTCTAGCCCTAATTCTATATTCCAACCCTAATTCTATATTTCAGCCCTAATTCTATATTCCAGCAGCCCTATTTCTATATTCTAGTCCTAATTCTATATTTCAGCCCTCGGAACACAAAGATATAATAGTTCATATGGCCAAGATGGTTGACAAGATAACTGTACCAATGGCCAGAGCTTCAATCTTATGGTTAATTGGTGAATACAGTGAACGAGTTCCAAAAATTGCTCCTGATGTTCTTAGGAAAATGGCTAAAGGATTCATCAATGAGGTAGGTATTTCATTATTTAGATGTTAAACACCAAGGACCTTTTTAGAAACTTAATCATACATTATGCAAGAGCTAAATCCGCCTATTGCAGGTCTTTCTTTAGACATTAATTAACTTATTTATTGGCTTGAAATGTTATATAAATTATTAGACATTAATTAACTTATTTATTAGACATTAATTAACTTATTTATTAGACATTAATTAACTTATTTATTAGACATTAATTAACTTATCCAGGCCATAATCAACTCTCGATTTCATCGTTAGGCTGCGATATTTACTGGATTTGGATACCTTTTGTGATGGATAATTTAGAGACTTAAACATGCATTATGCAAGAGCTAAATCGGCCTATTGCAGGTCTTTCTTTAGGCCTTAACTGTTATATAAATTATTATTTAGACATTTATTCACATGACAAGTCAATAATCAACTCTCTAGACTATCGGATGCCTGAGATTTAAATGGATTTGAACACCAACGAGATTTAAAAAATTTAACGATAAAATGGGTAATCGTGACTTAGTCTTGGTTGACAAGTACCATTGCTACGATAATAAACAATCTTCAAACAGTGATAACTACTGATAACTTCGCCCAGAATAAAATAATTTGAATGAAATTTTCAATATATTCACATTTCATTATCTATTTTTGAACTATTATAGCGAGAACGAACAGCTCCTTATCTAAATCTTATATATTATAATGCATCTTTAAATCTCCCTAAATTTTATTGTATATTAAAATTGGTTACGACAGTGAATTGGCATTTTTAAAATGTTGCGATTTTTGAGTCATATTATGGGAATGGGTGGAGGGGTGCAGCATACCAAGTTCATCACACTTTCTCCCAGCCTATCAAGCAGTGATCTTAATCGATTCCCCGTACAACCTCGTGGGTTTTCTTCGGGTCCTCCAATTTCCTCCCACTGCTAAAGACCCCTTCGTGCAAGCGAATTATGAAAATAAAACTGAACCATATGTTAGTCCCGAAATTACCTAGTTTGTGTCAGTGGACATTGAACCCTCTCTCTCTCTCACTCTCTCTCTCTCTCTCTCTCTCTCTCTCTCTTATCGAAGAGATATTATATAATGCACTATGTCATATTATAAGAAATTATATACTACAAAAGAGTAAATTTGGAGCGATAACTGCTTGATCTTACCCTTACTGGGGGTCACGGTGGCTAAGTGAATAAGATGCTTGCTTGCTAGTCTGGTAGTAGGGTGTTCGATCCCTGCATTGGACGAGAAAATTCATCCAGATTTTCCGACATGGTTTCCCCCTTGTCAGTAATGCAAAATGGAGGGCCCGACGAGGACAGCTGTCTAGTCGTTCAGTTGGGACGGAAAACTGAGGTCCCGCGTACACATTGGCGTGCGCGTAAAAGATCCCTTGGCAGTTGGAATTCGATATAAGAGTAGGTTGTAGTGCCGCTGTCCGGGCAAAATTTCCATCATAGCACACTGTATGGCGTATGCCCGTATTTATTAGCCCAGTCGGAGCAGAACAGTAGGAAGTTAAACCCCATTTCATTTCATTTCCAACAAGACTTGTGGATACATTGAAGTCTATTATGCCTTTTGATGTTATATTTTGACAATATTGAAAAACTTTTTACGTTTATTTTTTTTTACAGGAGGACATAGTTAAACTACAGATATTAAACCTGGCTGCTAAACTGTGTATAACCAATGCTAAACAATGTAAATTACTATGTCAATATGTCTTTAACTTAGCCAAGTACGACCAGAATTACGATATCCGCGATAGATCCAGATTTTTAAGACAGTTGATCTTACCAGGAGAAAATGGAAGTGCTCTAGCTAAATATGCTAAAAAGATATTCCTTGCTACAAAGCCAGCCCCTGTACTCGAGTCAAAATTTAAAGGTACCATTTCTCTACTTTTATACGCATATTGAACCATGTGTTAGTCCCGAAATGACCTAGTTTATGATGAGTGGAGTTAAACATAAAACATGTGTCGGTCTTTGTTGATTACCTTGATAATTTTATAATCTCTTGTAAGAGAGCGCTTAGTATTTGATTTGAGTTTCGTCCTGCAAAGCGTGCCCATACAGATTTGCCATTATAGCAGAAGGAATTAGCCGTTAAGTAATCAATTGACCGTACTATAGTACCTGACATTTTAAGCGAAAAGATGAATTCAAACAGAAGTTTTCCGATAACTTTAACGGTTGTAAGAAACAATTTTACTTGAACGCTAAGTTCGAAGACATCAACAGAATAACGCACGAGTGGTTTAAGGGCGTGGACAGAGGTACGATAATACTTCCGGTAATGATGCAGTTGAGTATTCTGAAATGCAGTCAATCTGATTAAAATACAGATCTATATTTCATTTCGTTTTTTATACGCCCACATTTTCATGTGGATGTATATTGTCGTCGTCCCTGTCCGTCCGTCCGTCCACAATTGTTTGTGAACAGTCTACAGGTCACAATTTTTATCCGATTTCAATGGAACTTGAAATATAGGTTTATCACCCTAAGATCTCGGTTCCTTTTGATATTGGCATCTATCGGACCGTAACTTCAGGGATTATGGCCCCTGATTGTATGAAAAATCACTTTTTGGCTTGTGAACACTGTAGAGGTCACAATTTTTATCCAATTTTGTTGAAACTTGAAATGTAAGTTTATAACCCAAAGATCTCGGTTCCTTTCGATATTCGCGCATACCGGACCGTAACTTCCTGAATTATGGCCCCTGATGGTACGCAAAAACGCTTTTTTTGGCTTGTGGACCCCTTAAGGTCATAATTTGTATCCGATTAAAAAAACCGTGTTAATATATCACTGTTACACCCTAAGGACGGCTGAATTCGTTCTCAAATAGCGTAAAAATATGGTATATCAAGGTTGTGGACCCTATAGAGGTCACAATTTTTATCCGATTTTGTTGAAACTTGAAATGTAAGTTTATTACTCAAAGATCTCGGTTCTTTTCGATATTTGCGCATATCGGACCGTGACTTCATGAATTGTGACCCCTGATGGTACGCAAAAACGCGTTTTTTGGCTTGTGGACCCTATAGAGGTCATAATTTTTATCCGATTTAAAAAAACGTGTTCATATATCACCGTTACGCCCTAAGGACGACTGAGTTCGAATTTCGTGAAAATCGGCCCAAAACTGACAGACAAAATGGCCGCCCCTCGTTCTCAAATTGCGTAAAAATATGGTATATCAAGGTTGTGGACCCTATAGAGGTCACAATTTTTATCCGATTTTGTTGAAACTTGAAATGTAAGTTTATAACCCAAAGATCTTGGTTCCTTTCGATATTTGCGCATATCGAATTGTAATTTCCTGAATTATGAAAAATCACTTTCGTTTTAGCTTGTTTTCTATCCATCTCTCGAAATTGTGGGCCTATCCTGCCTGGCAGCCGCTGGTTTATACTTTCGATGGCCTACACTACAAGAAGATCTGACAAGTTATAGCGATAGGTCACTTCAGGGGTCAAAAGACCGACTTTTGACCTATGACGTCAAACATTTGATTAACCAATCAGCATTGATGTTACTAGTGAATTACCCACAATTCCGGGCAAAAACGGTCAAACACTCGATTGACCCCTCATTTCAAGCAGAACACGAGTTAAATAACAAGTCTTCCAGATCCAAGTGTAGTAAAGACAAGTAAAACGAAATTTTGAACTATAAAAACGAAACGAAATAGGATCTGTGTTTTAACCAGATTGGAGATGCTGTGTAATCCGGCATATTGTATCGAACCCGTACGATGTCGGAATTGACGGAGTCTACTGTATATCTATGTATTCAGATTGTGAGTAATATTGTCAAATCTACTAAGTATGTTTTTGGGGTTTTTTTTTTAGATCGTGATCATTATCAATTGGGAACGTTATCACATCTATTGAATATTAAATGTCATGGTTACCAGGAATTACCAGAATGGCCAGAAGTGGCACCAGATACATCTGTTAGAAATGTAGAAGTTGTGATGCCATATGTTCCTAAAGCTCATCATGTTCAACACAAGAAAAAGAAGGAAAGCAAGTCGTTTTATTCGGAATCTGAGTCAAGTCAGGAAGGTAAATACAATAACGCAAAGAAACAATTCTTACATTAATACCAAAAAAATTCAAAAATTTGATTTTTTAATTTTGTTTGTAAGGCTTAAAGTAGCTAAATCGCTAATATTTGGGGCCTAGAAATTGACACAAATGGGTCGCCACGTATATAATAATATAATATGAGTGTATATAAACTGATTTACATTCAATCATTTCGGTTTTTACTCTTAATTTCAAATCAGTTAGGGGGGATCACGTGACTAAGTGGGTAAGACGCTGGCTCGCTAGCCTGGAGGTCGGGTGTTCGATCCCTGCATCGGCCGAGAAAGTTCATTCAGATTTTCCAGCGTGGTTTCCCCATTGTCAGCGATGCAGGACGGAGGGCCTGACAAGGACATGCCCGTCTTCATTAGCCCAGGTTGTGCAGAACAGTAGGACTTTAAACCCCATTTCATTTCTATTCAGTTACTTTAAAAAACAGAACGCACTAGGAACTGTGTTTTAATCAGATTGGGGGGTTGGATGGCTGAATGGTTAGCGTACCGCCGCTGTATCATAAAGTCTGTCATTGAGTCGACTGGCGTGGTTTCGAATCCCCGGTTGTACGTGACAAGGAGTAGGGTCGCCTGTCCAACCTCGTGGGTTTTCTCCGGGTCCTCCGGTTTCCTCCCACTGCTAAAGACCCCTATGCGCAAGCGAATTATGTATATAATTAAACCATATGTTGGTCCCGAAATGACCTAGTTTGTGTCGAGTGGACGTTAAACCCCATTTCTCTCTCTCTCTCTCTCTAATCAGATTGGGGATTGGCGTGGGGGAGGGAGGTGATGGAGTATGCCAAGACGGCTTCTTGTCCTGTTGTCACGGTCATATATCTTTAAATGGTTCAGGATTTTGTGAATAAAGACCTAGAATTTGAGTTGCTACAAAGTTAAAATTTATTTTTTTAGAAGAAACGGAAGACAGTAGTGATGAGGAGGAGGATGAAAGTAGTGATGAAGATTCTGGTAGTGAAGAAAATAGCGATGATTCGGAAAAAGATATATCTAAAAAAGTATCAAGTGAAGAAGAATCTGATTCCGATGATGATGAGTCAGATAGTGAAGATTCCTCAGAAGAAGATTCTAGTGATGATAGCGTAGAAAAAATTGTTACACCTGTTAAAAAGGTAAGGTTATTAATTTCTACTCCCCTGTTTCACCTTTGATGAATAGGTTGAGTTATGATTGTCGTCAATAAATATCTTGATACTTGTGACAATCGACTTGATGTCCTGGGGGGGGGGGGGCGTCAATAAATATCTTTACACTTGTGGTAATCGACTAGATGTCCCAGGGGGGGGGTTCTAATCCTTTGATAAATACGTTGAATTATGACTGTAGCCAATAAATGTCTTGACACTTATCCATTGCTGAATACATTCAGTTATGACTGCCAGCAATAAATGTCTTGACACTTGTGGTAATCTACTAGATGTCCTGTGTTCAAGTCAAAGAATTGCAGGATTTTTAAAGCCGGGTTCTCATTGGCCAGGGAAGGTCCTGTACATGTAGATATGAAAAGTAAAGTGTTGCCAAGTTCTGAGGTCCATCCATGTAATGGATTCCTTGACAGTAAGAATTTCATGAAGAATAGGCTGGAACACTGCTGACTGGGCAAAATTCTCCTCCCTAGCATTGCGCTAGTGATTAAAGAAACAAAAATAACCATCTATAAGTCTCTGTGTTGTCAGGACATTAATCTCAGTTCCTCTCCTTCTGGAGGGTTGGATGGCTGAATGGTTAGCATGTGCCTGCTGTATCATAAGGTCTGACATTGAGTCAACTGGCATAGTTTCGATTCCCCAGTTGTACGTGACAAGGAGTAGGGTCGCCTGTCCAACCTCGTGGGTTTTCTCTGGGTCATCCCACTGCTAAAGACCCCTACTCGCAAGCAAATTATCGCAAAATTAAATTAAACCATATGTTAGTCCCGAAATGACCTAGTTTGTGTCATGGACGTTAAACCCCATCTCTCTCTCTCCTCTCCTTCTTTTGTATACTTGAAATATTTTAACTATAATCTGACAGACAAAGTTATAAATATAGAGATCTTATTGTTAAACATACATTATGCAAGAGCTTAATCTGCCTTTTGAAGGTCTTTCTTTAGGCCTAAAATGATATATAAATTATTAATTATACATTTATTAACATGAAAAGACCATAATCAAATCTCGATTACATCTTATGTGTACGATTTTCATTGGATTTGAATATGATCTGCTGTTCAACACCCGTTGATGATTATCTGCAAAAATAGATAATTGAGACTTTGTTAATTATCGTGACAATGACAACCGAGGCTACAGTGAAATTTTTAGCATATTCCTTTTCAATATCTAGTTTTTAACTATTATAGTGAGATGAGAACTTCCAGCTCTTCTAATCTTCCATAATGTAGCTTTAATATATGGGCTTGATACAAATTTCATAAACTTTATAATGTTGATTATTCTAGCAACCTAAAACAAAGACGAAAGCAGCAACAACAACAAAACCAACAACAAGTTCTGCTGATCTATTATTAGATTTAGATGATTGTAAGTATAGTCACCTCTCATCTTTAATTAAAATGTTTGGTGAGGGCCTGACAAGGACAGCTGTCTGGTCCTTACGGATGAGACAAAAAACTAAGGTCCCATGTAGACATTGGCATGCACGGAAAAGATCTCTTGACAGTTGGAATTCGATATAAGAGTAGGCCATAGTGCCAGTATCTGGGCAAAATTTTTCCCTCATAGCACACTGTATGACGTAGGCCCATCTTCATTAGCCCAGTTGGGTGAAAACTATGATGACTGAGTGTTGTGTATGTGTATATTTTCAGTGGGTCCATCTAGTGGCAGTAGTGTGGCTGTGACTCCAGCAGGTGGTAATATGTTAACACCGACTCTCGCTACTGGTATCAGTAATATATCTATACAAGATACACCTCCTGCTCAGGTAAATATATGATTATAACATATATACAAGCTACACCCACTGCTCGGGTAAAATATATACAAGATACACCCACTTCTCATGTATAACACAGATATAAGATACCGAGTGCCTTTATTTTTATACATCGTATTTATGTTCATGAAATGAAGAAATGTAGAATTGCTTTCTGATCACTTTTTTATACGCCCACATTGAAATGTGGTTGTATATTTGTCGTCGCCCCGTCCGTCCGGCGGTCCGGCGTCCACAATTGCTTGTGGACGCTCTAGAAGCCAAAATTAATATCCGATTGACCTTAAATTTATACACAGTGAATAAGGTCTTGAGACGAAGAAGCCTATTGATTGTCAACGATTTCCGATAATTACTGCCAGAGTTATGGCCCTTGATCACTTCAAAAAATCTTGTGGACGTTCTAGAGGCCAAAGTTAATATTCGATTGACGTTAAATTTATACACAGTGTTTAAGGTCATAAGACGAAGAAGCCTATTGGTTTTCAGCGATTTCCGATAATTACTGGCAGATTATCAACGATTTTCAACGATTTCCGCTCTAAAGGCTAAAGTTATCATCCGATTGACTTCAGACTGATACACAGAGTTTAAGATCTTGAGACGAACAAGTATATTGATTTTCAATGAATTTTTATGACTTGAACAAATCCATGATATTAAAAGTTTTGCATACAAAACGTTAGCATGAGGCAGAACTTTATAAAAACCAAACAAATTCTAATGGTTTTCTGATAATTACTTCATGAGTTGTTGCTCTTAATCAGATTTTAGTGTATTATAAATGTTTCATTACCGAAAAAAGTAAGAATATGCGACAACTCTTGTCATTGTTGTGGGTACATGTTTTGTATAATGAATGTTATCATCTTTAAGAACTAGAGGCCAATCAAATTTTAATTATTCTGATAATTACTGAATGGGTTGTTTCTCTTTTGTGTCTTTTAAATGCTGCCATTACCTACGAAACAACAAATGTGACCTGCTCTGCCTAACGGATCTGCCTATCGAACAGCATTGTATTTCAGTACAGTGTATAGAACTGATGTTGGACAAAAATTGCGAATGTCAGATTTCTGCGAAAATACATCACTTAATGTCTCTAGGTAGGGTGACCCACCGTAAATAAATATCTCCATATATCTCGACAATTACGCCACAATATTTATATATATGCCAAGCCTCAAATCAGTTTCACACAATTATAGTCACTAAATAAACGATCATGTTGTACTTAATAAGCTATGACCATTAATCATCTATAAATAATAGACTGAAAACTACTGCTAGTATCATGTTCCTGTCTAACCCGAGTGTTTCAGAGATATTATTTGTACTAAACCAAAAGATGCCGCTCTTAACAGTACAGGTAATGATAAAGCGATTTAAAAAATGAAACGAACGTAAATTCGAAATCTGCTGTAATAACAAAGAAGCTTTATTTTACTGCTATTCAAAATCTTCAACAATAATTTTTTTACGGCTGTAATAGTTGATAGATTTGTAGAGAATTGCACGTGCCATGGCTATTTATAGTATCATACTGTCAGAAAGTTGGTCTCGGCACGGCGAATGTGTACGCTTCAGTGGTAGTCTCGAACTATCAGCGGTGGACTGTATTTCTGTAGAGTGCATGGGTCACCCTACTCTAGGTTCATGTTCCAAAAGCTCAAAATAAAAACAGAGGGCCTGAGAAGGACAGCTGTCTAGTCCTTCGGATGATACAAAAAACCGAGGTCCTGTGTATACATTGGAATGCACGTAAAAGATAGTGCCGCTGCCCGGGCAAAATTTCCCTCATAGCACACTGTATGGCGTATGGCCGTCTTCATTAGCCCAGTATAGGAACAGAACAGTAACACGTTAAACCCCGTTTCATTTCATTTCATTTCAAAATAAAAATCATAACAGAAGTAATTAATCAGCCGTATGCATCAACAAACATGATAAAACAAAGGAAAAAAAAACCCTGCTTTTTTACATGTTTTTGTGGTAAAATATCGAGCAAACCACCTGGACTTTCACAACAACCCTTCAGACTTAAATTTAGAATCTGAATGTATTGATAACTCAATTTTCATTTTTTGACCCATGAGGATCCCTCAGACAGGGGGAGGGGTTGATTGCCCGAATGGTTAGTGCGTGCCCGTTGTATCATTAGATCTGTCATTGAGTCAACTGGCGTGGTTTCGATTCCCTGGTTGTATGTGACAAGGAGTAGGGTCGCCTGTCCAACCTTGTGGGTTTTCACCGGGTTCTCTGGTTTCCTCCCACTGCTTAGTACCCCTACGCGCAAGCGAATTATTGAAATAAAATTGGACCATATGTACCTCCAGAAATGACCTAGTTTGTGTCGAGTGGACGTTAAACCCCATCTCTTTCTCTCCGCTCAAGACGATGTTGACGTTGACTAGGATTTTATTGTATTTATTTAACTACAGTCTGTTCTTCCGTGCTTAAATAATTTTATTGGTTTATCTTACAGATCATTCCACCTTCTATTGTACAAGCCAAGTCGTATGAATTGTTGAATCGTATGACAGGAAATGGTTTAAGTATAACGTATCAATTTACTCGAACAGTTTCTGTTTTTTCTCCTAAAATGGTGTCAATAGAATTAAAACTTACCAACAATAGTGATGACACGTTGACTAGTATTAAAATAGGCGACAAGGTAAGTTAATGTCATGTTGGGTGACAGGTCATTATTTTGTCATCTGTCACTGTAACCCGGGTATCATTTAATCTTGTGTATCTAGCACTAATTTCTTTCACATTCATTTAATATCAAACCTTTGTTTAAAAATTCGTAAAAATCATTTTAAAATCACCCAAAATCATCTAATTTACAAGTATTTTATTTCCTGACCACTGTTCAAAATTTATTCATAATACATAAATAATCAATTGGGTTTTTTATTTTTTGAACAGTGATTGAGAAATTGAACACTTGTAAATTGAACACTCAATATCAAAATTGAATGGTCAGCTTTAAACTGGACACAAGTACAAATTAGATGACTTTTGGTGGTGTTAAACAAATTTTTTAAACAAAGATTTGATATTAAACGAATGTGAAAGAAATTAGTGCTAAATACACAAGATTAAATGATACCTGGGTTACAGTGTATGCATGCAAGGGTTCCTCTATTGTAGTGATTCACAACTGTCTAGTTGTTTGGATGGGATGAAAAACGGAGGTCCTATGTACACATTTGTGTCCACGTAACAGATAGGGATCTGGCAATTGCAATTCGATATAAGAAATGGGCGTAGAGCCGCTGTCCAGGCAAACTTTCCCTCATAGCTCACTGTATGGTGTATGTCCTTCTTCATTAGTCCAGTTGGAGCAGAACAGTAGCAGGACGTTAAACCCCAATTCAGTTCATTTCTGTGATTCACAAACTTTTTCCCATTATTAGCTCCTTTGAGTCATTTTGCAAATCTCTGAGAACCCCATGGATGCTTGTCACTGTTTGTTGAACATGGGAAAGTATTAATGCATGAAATTTGGATATTATAAAATATTGTAGAAGTTAGGTTAATTTTAAAGAGTTTTATGAGGTTAATTTTAAAGAGTTTTATGAGAATAATGATTAACAGGTCTGTCCGTTCTCTTGTTCTGTAGAAATTACAGTCTGGTATGGAAATACAAGAATTTCCAGAAATCGGTAAGTTTTATATTATATGATTCTATTCTGACATCTGTTTAAGATTAGATTGATGAATTGTCCGATAAAGGATTAAGTCAGTCAATCAAGGCAGATTAATTAATTAATCAAGGCAGGTGTATTGACGGTAGATGACAATAAATACTTTGATCGCTTAATTACCTAATCAATCCAGCCTATTACCAACGATAATCGGGTTGAGCGGTAGATATACACTGAGAACACTATATTAATTTTGTAATTTTGAATATCATTCACCATATCTTGTCCGATATTCCTGGTTGGACAATTTCGGACATTTGGAAAATAGCGCTGGACATGTCCGGAATAAACGGGCGAAATCCCATCACTGGTATAGATACAGAGTTTTTTGTATGTTACAACATTGAAGGCTGTCGGCATTGGCCTGTTAGGATTTTACCTCTAATCTTTCAGGGGGGTTGGGTGGCCGAATGATTAAAGCATGCACATTGCATCTTAAGGTCTATCAATGAATCAAGAGGCATGGTTTAGATTCCCCAATACTATGTGACAAGGAGTAGGGTTTTCTCCAGGTCCTTGGGTTTCCTCCCACTGCTAAAGGCCCTTACTCGCAAGTGAATTCTTAAAATTGAAATTGATGCATGTGTTAGTCCCGAAATGACCTAGTTTGAGTCTAGTGGACAGTTAAACCCCCTTCGCTCTCTCTCTATTCTTTTGAACGTTAAATAAACGTACGGTTATATAATTAGTGGTGTAATTAGTATACTCAAACCCCCTATAGTTAACACATATGGGTGTGGCCTATAGTTAACACGTATGGGTGTGGCACCTGCTTTTCATTACTTGTATTTTTTCTAGGTTCCATGACAGCAGGAATGTCAACAACTTGTCTGATTGGTATTAATTTTAACGATACGATTCAACCAGCCAAGTTTGCTATCTGTGTTGGTGATAATAAATATTCTGTTAGTATAACGGCTCCTGTTGGGGAATTAATTCAACCATATTCCATGTCTAATGCAGAATTTAACACTCAGCAAGGTAATAATTACATATACATTATGCAAGAGCTAAATCTGCCGATTACAGGTCTTTCTTTAGGCCTGCAATGTTATCTAAATTATTAGACATTAATTAACTTACCTATTAATTAGGCATTAATTAACACGAAAAGACCATAATCAACTCTCAATGCCATCTTATGTGTCAGATTTTCACTGGATTTGAATCCAATCTGCTGCCCAATGCTCATTGTCATTGATGGTTAAATCCAAAAATAGATAATCGAGACTATGGTTTTTATCTTACCGACTTTAATAATGATGTTCGAGGATACACCTAAAGTTCAATCGCTAATATCTTGGTTCAGAGTGGAGCAATTTGACTGAAATTTTCATCAGTTTCTGTTTTCGTTATCTAGTTTGATTACTATTATAGTGAGAACTACCAGCTCTTTATCTAATCTTCCATAATGTGGTATCTTTAATGGCCTCCACCTTTCGGAGAAAACAGGGGACTATTAAGATGAGTCGTCTGTGCGTCTGTCCAATCATTAATGTCCTACCACTTTCGGAGAACGTAGGGCACTATTAAGATGGTTGAATGGCCATCTATCTGTCAGTCACACTTTTGTTTTGGAAACACACATGGATTAATCTCCTCAGTTACTCTCTTTAATTGGGGGGGTGGATGGCCGAATGGTTAACACGTGCGCGTTATATCATACGGCTTGTCATTGAGTCAACTGGCGTGGTTTCGAATCCCTGGTTGTACGTGACAAGGAATAGGGTCGCCTGTCCAACCTCATGGGTTGTCCTCCGGTTTCCTCCCACTGCTAAAGACCCCTACGCACAAGCGAATTATTGAAATAAAATTAAACAATATGTTAGTCCCGAAATGACCTAGTTTGTGTCAAGTGGACTTAAACCCAATTTCTCTCTCTCTCTCTCTTTAATTACACATTTTCTTTTCCACAGGGAAATTATCTGGAATGAATGAAAATTCTGGTAAAACGGTGATTGGCGTAGAAAAAGATGCAAAGTCTATTTGTTTATGTGTTCATTCCGTAGCTAATGTTATACAAGTTCCTGGTAGTGCTGAAAATGTCTACAGATTTTCAGGAAAGACTGTGGGTACCGGAACCATGGTTTTAATGTCTGTGGTCGTTGCCGACGATAATGCTAAAATAACGGTTAATTGTGAAAAAATGGTTATTGGATCCATGTTGTTAAAGGATTTAAAGACATCAATTGCCAAAAGTTAAAATATATAATGTTTGAGTTTGATTAACCAATCAACAGGTACTTACAGCAATTATAATAAACAATTAATTACACACAATAAATTATTAAATATTTTATACGTGTTTATTTCTTTTATTGAATTGATTTCTTATGTTCTTGCCTGACAAGGAAGTGCTGCAGGATGGAAGGCTTGATAAGGATGGGACGAAAAACCAAGGTCTGATGTATACATTGGCATGCACGTAAAAGATCCCTTGGTATTTGTAATTCAGTATAAAAGTAGGCCATAGTGCCGATGCCCGGGAAAAAATTTCCTCATAGCACACTGTATGGCGTCTGTCCTTCTTCATTACCCCGGTCGGATCAGAACAATAGGACGTTAAACCCCATTTCATTTCATTTTATTTCTTATAGTCTTGGTGGGAACAGACCAGGGCTCTCGTTTTATTCCCCCGGGGGAAGGGGGATGGGCGAATGGTTAACGTGTGCGTGTTGTATCATAAGGTCTGTCATTGAGTCAAGTGCATGGTTTCAATTTCCTGGTTGAGTAAGGTCACCTGTCCAACCTTGTGGGTTTTCTCTATAGGTTCTTCGGTTTGCTCCCACTGCTAAAGACCCATATGCGCGAGCGAATAATTGGAATAAAAGTAAACCATATGTTAGTCCCGAAGTGACCTAAGGGATCACGTGATTAAGTGGGTAAGATGCTGGCTCGCTAGCCTAGAAGTCGAGTGTTCAATCCCTGCATTGGCCGAGAAAGTTCATCCAGATTTTCCGGCGTGGTTCCCGCTTGTCAGTGATGCAGGACGGAAGGCCTGACAAGGACAGCTGTCTAGTCCTTCGGATGATACGAAAAACCGAGGTCCCGTGTATATATTGGAATGCACGTAAAAGATCCCTTGGCAGTTGGAATTCGATGTAAGAGTAGGCGATAGTGCCGCTGCCCGGGCAAAATTTCCCTCATAGCACACTGTATGGCGTATGCCCGTCTTGAGGGGTCCCATAGGTCTCAAGAGCCATAACTTTGGCAGTAATTATCAGAAATATTGAAAATCGGCAGCCTTCTTCATCTCATCAACGTAACCACTTTGTTTTAATTTAATGTCAATCGCATATTACTCTAGAGTGCCTACAAGCAATAGTGGACGACAGGCGTGACAACAATATATAACATATATTGTTGGCGTATAAAAATCACACAAATAATAACTTAAATAGGGTATCATTACAGAGTCAAACAATGTAAATAATTGCTAAACTATTTCAATGACGGGGGGGGGGGTTGGATGTCTGAATGGTTAGAGTGTGCGCGCTGTATCATAAAGTCTGTCATTGATTCGACTGGCGTGGTTTCGAATCCCCCGTTGTACGTGACAAGGAGTAGGGTCGCCTGTCCAACCTCATGGGTTTTCTCCGGGTCCTCCGGTTTCCTCCCACTGCTAAAGATCCCTATGCACAAGCGAATTATTGAAATAAAATTAAACCCCATTTCTCTCTCTCTCTATTTCAATGACTTGCTTCAGATTTTGCACTAGACTCCACATAACTGATCAAATGTCTTAAAGATACATTATGGGAGATTAGATAACTAGCTGGTAGTTCTCACTATAATAGTTAAAGAACGAAACATACACCCACAAAAGTTAAATCGTCCGGGCAGTCAACTAGAGTTGTCGCATATTTTTACGTAATGAAACATTTATAATACACTAAAATCTGATTAAGAGCAACAACTCATGAAGTAATTATCAGAAAACCATTAGAATTTGTTTGTTTTTATAAAGTTCTGCAACATGCTAACGTTTTGTATACAAAACTTTTAATATCATGGATTTAGCTGTTCAAGACATAAAAATTCATTGAAAATCAATATACTTGTTCGTCTCAAGATCTTAAACTCTGTGTATCAATCTGAAGTCAATCGGATGATAACTTTAGCCTTTAGAGCGTCACAAAGTGATCAAGGGCCATAACTTTGGCAGTAATTATCGGAAATCGTTGAAAATCAATAGGATTCTTCGTCTCATGACCTTAAACACTGTGTATAAATTTAAAGTCAATCAGATATTAACTTTGGCCTCTAGAGCATCCACAAGATTTTTCAAAGTGATCAAGGGCCATAACTCTGGCAGTAATTATCGTAAATTGCTGAAAATCAATAGGCTTCTTCGTCTCATGACCTTAAACACTGTGTATAAGTTTGAATTCAATCAGATATTAACTTTGGCCTCTAGAGTGTCCACAAGATTTTTCAAAGTGATCAAGGGCCATAACTCTGGCAGTAATTATCAGAAATCGCTGAAAATCAACAGGCTTCTTCGTCTCATGACCTTAAACACTGTGTATAAATTTAAAGTCAATCGGATATTAACCTAGGCCTCTAGAGCGTCCACAAGATTTTTCAAAGTGATCAAGGGCCATAACTCTGGCAGTAATTATCGGAAATCGCTGAAAATCAATAGGCTTTTTTCGTCTCATGACCTTAAACACTGTGTATAAATTTAAAGTCAATCAGATATTAACTTTGGCCTCTAGAGCGTCCACAAGCAATTGTGGACGGACGGACCGATGGACGGACGGGGGCGACGATTTCAATGTGGGCGTATAAAAACTAGATAATGTAAAGGGAAGTTGATGAAAATTTCATTCCAATTGATCCACTATGAACCGAGAATTAAGCGATTAAAATAAAGAAGTACGCAGCTATTGTCAAGATACTGAAATCAAAACATGTTCAAGCTTCCAAGCAAAGAGAATACTAACACAAAGTAGAATAACAAAATAAGAAAATGACTATGTAATATATAAGAACAGCAAAATAAGAAAAAAATAATGTAAAATTAATATATATCCGAATACAAAATGATATTTCCAAACTACTTTAATTAATAAACTATTTCAAAAATACAAAATAAATATACACATGTAACAAAAGATAGGTTGCCAGGCAACGATTCATACGCCCACAACAGCTATATCGTCCGGGCAGTCAATAAGAGTTGTCGCATATTTTTACTTTTTTTGGTAATGAAACATTTATAATACATTAAAATCTGATTAAGTAATTATCAGAAAACCATTAGAATTTGTTTGGTTTTTATAAAGTTCTGCCCCATGCTAACGTTTAGTATACGAAACTTTTAACATCATGGATTTAGCTGTTCAAGTCATAAAGATTCATTGAAAATCAATAAACTTGTTCGTCTCAAGACCTTTAACACTCTGTATAAATTTGAAATCAATCGGATATTAACTTTAGCCTCTAGATCGTCCACAAGATTTTTCAAAGTGATCAAGGGCCATAACTCTGGCAAAAATTTATCGGAAATCACTGAAAATCAATAGGATTCTTCGTCTCATAACCTTAAACACTGTGTATAAATTTAAAGTCAATCGGATATTAACTTTACCCTCTAGAGGGTCCACAATATTTTTCGAAGTGATCAAGGGCCATAACTCTAGCTGTAATTATCTGAAATTGCTGAAAATCAATAGGATTCTTCGTCTCATGACCTTAAACACTGTGTATAAATTTAAAGTCAATCGGATATTAACTTTACCCTCTAGAGCGTCCACAAGATCTTTTGAAGTGGTCAAGGGCCATAACTCTAGCTGTAATTATCGGAAATCGCTGAAAATCAATAGGCTTCTTCGTTTCATGACCTTAAACACTGTGTATAAATTTAAAGTCAATCGGATATTAACTTAGGCCTCTAGAGCATCCACAAGATTTTTTGAAGTGATCAAGGGCCATAACTCTGGCAGTAATTATTGAAAATCATTGAAAATCAATAGGCTTCTTCGTTTCATGACCTTTAACACTGTGTATAAATTTAAAGTCAATCAGATATTAACTTTTGCCTCTAGAGCGTCCATAAGATTTTTTGAAGTGATCAAGGGCCATAACTCTGGCAGTAATTATCAGAAATCACTGAAAATCAATAGGCTTCTTCATCTCATGACCTTAAACACTGTGTATGAATTTAAAGTCAATCGGATATTAACTTTAGCCTCTAGAGCGTCCACAAGACTTTTTGAAGTGATCAAGGGCCATAACTCTGGTAGTTATCAGAAATCGCTGAAAATCAATAGGCTTCTTCGCCTCATGACCTTATACACTGTGTATAAATTTCAAGTCAATCGGATATTAACTTTAGCCTCTACAGCGTCCACAAGATTTTTTGAAGTGATCAAGGGCCATAACTCTGGCAGTAATTATCGGAAATCGCTGAAAATCAATAGGCTTCTTCGTCTCACGGCTTTAAACATTGTATATAAATTTAAAGTCAATCAGGTATTAACTTTAGCGTCTAGAGCGTCCACAAGCAATTGTGGACGCCGGACTGACGGACGGACGGACCGAGGGACGGACGGGGGCGACGACAATATACGACCACATTTCAATGTGGGCGTATAAAAACACTACTAAACCAATATAATAATACGTTTTCTTAAATCGGGTAAAAATTATGACTTCTATAGGGTCCACAAGCTAAAAACGTGATTTTTCGTACAATCAGGAAGTTACTGTCCGATATGCACGAATATCGAAAGGAACTGAGATCTTTGGGTTATAAACTTACATTTCAAGTTTCAACAAAATCGGATAAAAATTGTGACCCCTATAGGGTCCACAACCTTGATATAGCATATTCTTACGCTATTTGGGAACGAATGGCGGCCATTTTGTCTGTCAATTTTGGGCCGATTTTCACGAAATTCAAACTCAGTCATCCTTAAGGTGTAACGGTGATATAATAGAACGTTTTTTTAAATCGGATAAAAATTATGACTTCTATAGGGTCCACAAGCTAAAAACGTGATTTTTCGTACAATCAGGGGCCATAATTCAGGAAGTTACGGTCCGATATGCACGAATATCGAAAGGAACCGAGATCTTTGGGTTATAAACTTACATTTCAAGTTTCAACAAAATCGGATAAAAATTGTGACCTCTATAGGGTCCACAACCTTGATATACCATATTTTTACGCTATTTGAGAACGAACGGCGGCCATTTTGTCTGTCAATTTTGGGGCGATTTTCACAAAATTCAAACTCAACTGTCCTTAGGGTGGAACGGTAATATAATAATACGTTTTTTTAAATCGGATAAAAATTATGACCTCTAATGGGTCCACAAGCTAAAATCATGATTTTTCGTACAATCAGGGGACATAATTCAGAAAGTTACGGTCCGATATGGGCAAATATCGAAAGGAACCGAGATCTTTGGGCTATAAACTTATATTTCAAGTTTCAACAAAATCGGATAAAAATTGTGACCTCTATAGGGTCCACAACCTTGATATACCATATTTTTTACGCTATTTGAGAATGAACGGCGGCCAATTTCGTCTGTCAATTTTGGGTCGATTTTCATGAAATTCAAACTCAGTCGTCCTTAGTGTGTATTGGTGATATAATAATACGTTTTTTTAAATCGGATAAAAATTATGACCTCTATAGGGTCCACAAGCTAAAAACGTGATTTTTCGTACAATCAGGGGCCATAATTCAGGAAATTACAGTCCGATATGCGCGAATATCTTTGGATTATAGACTTACATTTCAAGTTTCAACAAAATCGGATAAAAATTGTGACCTCTATAGGGTCCACAAGCTAAAAACGTGATTTTTCGTACAAACAGGGGCCATAATCCATGAAGTTTCGATCCGATACATGCCAATATCGAAAGCAGCCGAGATCTTTTGGGGATAAACCTATATTTCAAGTTTCGTCGAAATCGGATAAGAATTGTGACCTGTAGAGAGTCCACAAACAATTGTGGACGGACATCCGGACGGACAGGGGCGACGGCATAATACGTCCACATGAAAATGTGGGCGTATAAAAAAGCAGTATTTCAAAATGAAAGAAAATGACGAAAAAAATTAACAAACTATAACCAAAAATAGAAGAAAATAATGGAAAATTAATATATATCAGAATACAAAATGATATTTCCAAAATAATTAATAAACTATTTCAAAAATACAAAATATAACAAAAAACACTACAGTATTTCAAAATGAAAGAAAATGACAATAAATTATCAAACTATAACCAAAAATATGAATAAATAAACATATTTCAAAAACAGGAATATAATATACAAAGATAGGTTGCCAGGCAACAAAACATACGTCCATAGCAGTAAATCGTCCAGGGTTGTCACATAATTATTCTTTTGTATGTAATTAGGGGAATTTAATAGACAATTTCATACAGATGACATTATAATTTTCGTCGTTTGAGGGTTCACAAGTTTCTAAAAACTAAAACAAGGGCATAACTCTGGAAGTAATCTACAGAAATTGTTTAAATTCAAGAGGCTTTTTCGTTTTACTAATTCAAATAATGCATATAAATTTCATACAGATCGGATGATAACTTTTGTCGTTCGAATGTTCACAAAGTTCAACCAAGTAAATCAAGGGCCATAACTGCCCATAACTCAAGCGTTCACAAGATTCAACAAGTTAAACAAGGGCCATTACTCGAGCTGTAATTAACGGAAATTGCTGAAATTCAATAGGCTTCTTTGTTTTACTAATTTAAATGATGAGTATAAATTTCATACAGATCGGTTGATAACTTTTGTCGTTAGAGCGTTCACAAGGTGCAACAAAGTGAAACAAGGGCCATAACTCCAGAAGAAACTAAGGGAAGTTATTGAAATAAAATAGCCTTCTTCATCTCACTAATTCAAACAACATATATCAATTTCAAAACAATCAGATGATAAATGTAGTCTGTAGAGTGTTCACAAGAAATTGTGGACGATGAACAGGCGGACCGACGGCAATATACGACCACATTTCCATGTGGGCGTATAAAAACACATCTCAAACTGATGGTAATTCTCAGTTACTTCCCCTTGTCAGTGGTGCTGGATAGAGGGCCTGATAAGGATATCTGTCTAATCGTTCAGATGGGACGCAAAACAGAGGTTCTGTGGTATCAAGATGAAGCATCCACATTCTAAATACATGTTGATTTTAATAATGAAAATAAATTTCAACCAAATTGGATAGAATTCTTTGAACATATGGATGGAGTACAGCAGAGTGACAACAATATATGACCACATTTGGAGCAATTACAAAATTGTAATGGCAAGAGCATTAACTCTCTCAATAACCAGTGCAAATCTCAATAACACAAAAAGTTTGATTTATTGGGATACAACAATTGGGATGGATGGACATACATAGGCAACATTATACAATATATATATTACATCCCACTTCTACTCGTTGCCACTGGCAACCTTTGATAAAACTGTCCTGTTTATTTGCAACACATGCCTAAAAGTATTCGTGTATCAGAAATGTACAGAAAGAGTACTGTCCATTTCTGATACACGGACCGTTAGCAGACATTTAGTCCAACCCAGTTCGCAATTGATAAGGCTGTCTCTATACAGTGTACATGAAACAACTAGTCAAAATCATAGTAACAAAACAAAATGGGAGGAACTACATGGCAGTTCAAAAACATATACAATGACATTAAATTAACATAACAACATATTACAAAAATCAATTATTATACATATCAATTGGCATCTATTTCATAATTTGGTTTGATTTATATTAATATGCAAAATATATAAATTAGAATATTGAATAATTATTTTAATTAATTGTGATGATAGAAGGCGCAGTTCTCTTGCTGGACACTTCACAGGCATTGAAAATAAGCAGGATGAAAAAAAACGCCTAGAAAGTCATAAACTTTATTACAAATAAATTTCAACGGAAGAACCATCCGCCGATGCATACTTTCACGTTTTGCATTTCCTTTACACTACATTTAATAATATCGCAGTCCTCTACGCCATAGACAAGTTGTTTTGACGATGTGGTCTAACAAACACGCGATTGTTTTACGCTCAGAGTATCATAGCAAGACGCACGTGTAAATACTACTCAGGTCGTCTCTACACTGCGAAATCATTCTACCATGAAATGTAACGTGAGGCTCAGAAAGGGATAAATAATGAAAGAGCAGAAAGTATTTGTCACTTTTCGGTTGAAACGACTCGATAATAAATACTATTTTTCACATTTTGCTTCACAATACTCGATAGAAATGTGATGTAAGTAACTTATTAGCACCTTTCCTCGGTGTATCGGTGAATATCAGGACAGTTTTGGTCGGGAGACGCCTCGGCTGGACCCTCGACCAAAACTGTCCTGATATTCACTGATACACCTCGGAAAGTGTGCTAATAACTACTACTTATCAATATTTTTTCATGTAAAAAAAATTATATATCAAATTTATGGAATATATCTATCTCCCAAAACATATTCACATATTAAAGATACATTATGGGAGATTCGATAACGAGTTGGCAGTAAAGATACATTATGGGAGATTGGATAACGAGTTGGCAGTTCTCACTATAATAGTTAAAATCTAGATAATGTAAAGGCAATTTGCTGAAAATTTCATTCAAATTGATCCACTATAAACCGAGAACTAAGCTATTGAAATTTCTGCCTAGCCTCGGTCATTATTACTAAAGTCAGTATGATAAACAGCATAGTCTTGATTATCCATTTAATCTTTAAATCTTGCATAATGTATGTTTAATCAAATCAAAACTCATATTTTATCGATATATCAAAACTAATGGCAAAACACTAGTAATGTAGAGAAGACCTGCTATAGACAGACTATAACAATAGTAGAATGAACAAAACATATTTGCTTTAAAATATTAAAACTTACAAATATATATTTCTAAAATGTAAAATTACATCAAAATGTAAATGCTCTTTGTTCTTTCGGAATTTAGATTTTACGCTATTCTCTGCTTCTTAGCACCCCGCGAATCATCTGAAAAATTAAAGATTATCAAAATTCAAAACTCTAGATATATTTATAGCACATATTAAACTCTGATAGTTTCAACAAACCACTCTGTTGCTTTATCAATATTACACCGACCAACAGCTTTGTTGTCTCTTATTTCGCCCTCATTACTAGTCAAACTAGGCCGACAGCAAGTTGAAAATCATGAAAAACAAGCCAACAGTGAGGCTGATGTCCCCCGCCAAAATCCCAAAATAAATAGATGACACATATTAATTAATCGCACATTTATTTTTTTCAAAAGTATCGAGCAATTAAACTATATACTATGTTTCATCACTCTCTATCAGATAGAATCAAGGTTATCTTGTCCCAAAGCATCAACCAATGAAATTACTTAGCTATGCTTAGCTTTAGCTCGAAATGTTAATCATTGAACTCAGTCAAAACATTCACCTAATGAACATCTACATCCAAGTTTAAACATTCTACCTCAATCAAAAGCAGAGTTGTTATGTGCCAAAGTCTTGACCAATCAACTTGCTTGTTGCTCCTTAGCCTAAGCAGAAAATTCTTATCATGGAACGAAGTCAAGGTAATGACATAATGAATCTATACTCAGAGTTTCATCACTCTCACTTAATTTAAACTAAAGTCATTGTGCCCCAAAGAATCAACCAATCAGATTATTTATCTCTGCTTACCCTGAGCAGAAAATGTTAATTATCGAATTTATTCGAGGTATTGGTGTAATGAAACTATACACCAAGTTTCATCACTCTCACTTAATTAGAACTAAAGTTATCGTGTCCCAAAGCATCAACCAATCTAATTGCTTATCTCTGCTTACTCTAAGCAGGAAATGCTCATCTTCGAAATCCATCAAGGCATTGACCTAATAAACACCTACACCAAGTTTGAACACTCTAGTTCAATTAGAAAGAGAGTTATTGTGTCCCAAACAGTGTGAAGTACAGACAAAAAGACAGACAGACAGACAGACAGACGGACGAACCCATTTTAATAATCCCCTGCTTTCTTCAAAAGGTGGGGGACAAAGATTGGCATGTAGAGTGTTTACAGGGTTTTGTCAATAGTGGAAATAACATAGGTCATTTTGTAACTAATATTAATAGATGGTATTTTTCATTCATGTGGCCCCTACGCGCAAGCGAATTATTGAAATAAAAAAAATAAACCATATGTTAGTCCCGAAATGACCTAGTTTGTGTCGAGTGGACGTTAAACCCCATTCCTCTCTCTCTCATTCATGTGCACAACTTCACATGCAGATCTCATTTTTATGGAATATATTATAACCAATTGTATGCATCCCTAGAGGATGACCCGGTGCTGCACGGGTTGAAACCAGTATATCATAACTCTGAAACCAGAAGCGGTAAGCCAACGCCACCTAGCTACCCTTATGCACCAAATTTCAGCGTCGGGACAGTCCTAGTGTAGTCGCTAACCCTGAACAGATAAACAGATAACCGACAGTCACAGATATTAGTATAAATAGAATCTATTTCTCAATTGTTTCAAATCTCAGTTAAAATCTATGAGGTAACAGGGGTCTGTTTCACGCAATTCTAACTAAGACAAAATCCAAATTTCAGTAATTTGATTGGATAATATTAGATTGATTTTAGTGCTTAGCCAATCAAAATTAAAGTATCTACTAAAATTTGGATTTTATCTTTAGTTAAAGATACATTATGGGAGATTAGATAACAAGTTGGCAGTTCTCACTATAATAGTTAAAAACTAGATAATATTAAGGCAATTTGCTGAAAATTTCAGTCAAATTGATCCACTATGAACCGAGAAAAAAGCCATCATTACTAAAGTTCGTACAACAAAAATCATAGTCCCGATTATCCATTTAATCGTTAAATCGAGAAAGAAAGTTATGCAGCAAATCAGATCATAATCCAACAATTATCGCAGGCTAGCGTTGACATCGAGAGTTGATTATGGTCTGGATACGTTAATTATTAGTTTATATAACATTTCAGGCCTAAAGAAAGACCTGCAATCGGCAGATTTAGCTCTTGCATAATGCATGTTTAAGATTTTGAGAAATAGGACCCAGATGTACTTACTGGAATTGATTATTTCAGATGCCCCATTCACGATCTTTCTTGCTATCTCACAGCCTTTTTGAGAATGATTTTTGTTGTATACATCATTTGGAATTTGAGGGTAACTAAGTGTGTCTGGATATCGCATACGAGTATGATCACCAATCATATTTTGTAGTTCTAATGCAAGTGTTTTTAAGTTATCATACGGTAATTCACGAGCAACTAGATACAGATTGTGAGCATGTGTTACGTTATTTCCATCTATGGTATACCAAACAGCTTTCAGAGCTTTCTCAGCAGCCTATAAATCATAAATTGTACATACATATTCTAAAACAATTTTATAATAACATAACAACGGTGAAGTGTCAAAAGGTAGTATCTCGGGGAATTAGTCAAATACACTTTTTTGCATTTTTAAAATCTCCCAATTAATATGCACATTTCTGTCTAAGCTGTGTATCTCTGCGCCAATTAGAACTGTTCTGGGTATCATGTGTCCAAATAATGTATCTTGATTTGTGGAAATTTTGAAATGCAAAAGGTTCTATTTCTTAATCTTTAGAAATTTTTAGATACACCCTTTTGACACTTCGCCGACGATAAACAATAACGCAGCTCACTCTTGTAATAGTTTGAACCTGTCATAGTAAACAAAACAAGATGACTAGTCATCAACATCCCGTGCCCTTGCACTTGTTTGGAAGAAATAAGGAAAAATAACTTGTTTATGCTATTGGTAATCAATATAAAAATGTATCAGATTTCGCAAACAGTGTCACTGGTCCTAATATTGTGGCCCTGTTTAGTAGATATTGCTCTCTATTTCTGAAAACTAATGACTGATTGCTATTTACTAGAAGATTTGCGATAATTTATGACATTAAGCTCTGGTTTTAAAAATTAGACATGACTACATAGAAAATAGAGATATTTTGCAAGTGGAGGGAACTGGAGCTTTAGACAAATCTCATATTAAGACACATGGAATATCAATTCACAGAATTTCATACTCTGATCACAGTAGCTCAGCAAGGCAGGGTCGCTACTCCCTGTAAGGTTTGCACAACAACCTTTGCCTACCTCAATCAGCTGATGTATGTTAAACAATAAACGTATACATCAGGAAATAAAATACTATAATAGGTTAATGTTTGTACAAAGTTTCAAAAAGATTTCTTGAACAGATAATAAAATATGCTCCAGAAACAAAATCAGGACGGAAGGCTGGATTTCAGAAAATAAAATAATGGGTAAAATTATTTTAAAGGTATCTTGAACAGTCAAATGTGTTTCCATGGAAACACATAAAATTATCAAATCTGAGAAATTCAAATAAGTGCCATGAAGATATCTTGAACGATTTATGAGATATGCTCCGGAAACAAAATTGTACACCAAAAACTAAGTCAAATTTGTTTCCATGGAAACACACAAAATATCAATCCCAGAAATTCCTAAATAGCAAAAGACACAACTACTGTAATGGGTAGATGTCTGTACAAAGTTTCAAAAAGATATCTTGAATGGTTTATGAGATATGCTCCGGAAACAAAATTGTACATCAAAAACTAAGTCAAATTTGTTTCCATGGAAACACACAAAATATCAATCCCAGAAATTCCTAAATAGCAAAAGACACAACTACTGTAATGGGTAGATGTCTGTACAAAGTTTCAAAAAGATATCTTGAATGGTTTATGAGATATGCTACGGAAACAAAATTGTACATCAAAAACTAAGTCAAATTTGTTTCCATGGAAACACACAAAATATCAATCCCAGAAATTCCTAAACAGCAAAAGACACAACTACTGTAATGGGTAGATGTCTGTACAAAGTTTCAAAAAGATATCTTGAATGGTTTATGAGATATGCTCCGGAAACAAAATTGTACATCAAAAACTAAGTCAAATTTGTTTCCATGGAAACACAAAAAATATTAATCCCAGAAATCCTAAATAGCAAAAGGCACAACTACTGTAATAGGTTGATGCGTGTGCAAAGTTTCAGAAAGATATCTTGGTCGGTTTATGAGATATGCTCCGGAAACAAAATTGTACACCAAAAACTAAGTCAAATTTGTTTCTATGGAAACACACAATATATTAATTCCAGAAATTTCTAAATACCAAAAGGCACAACTACTGTAATAGGTTGATGTGTGTGCAAAGTTTCAGAAAGATATCTTGAATGGTTTATGAGATATGCTCCGGAAATGAAATTGGACGGACGGACCCCATTTCAATATCCCTCCCTAACTTCGTTTGGCGCGGGATAATAAACAGAAGTCACCATGTAAAATATTGTCAGCTACGTAAATTATTCAAATGAGAAGTGGCATCAGGTGTTCTACAAAGAGTTAGTGGGGGGTTGGATGGCTGAATGGTTAGCGTGTGCACGCTGTATCATTAAGTCTGTCATTGAGTCAACTGGCGTGGTTTCGATTCTCCGGTTGTACGTGACAAGGAGAAGGGTCGCCTGTCCAACCTCGTGGGTTTTCTCCGGTTCCTCCGGTTTCCTCCCACTGCTAAAGACCCCTACGCGCAAGAGAATTATTGAAATAAAATTAAACCATACGTTAGGCCCGAAATGACCTAGTTTGTGTCGAGTGGATGTTAAACCCCATTTCTCTCTCTCTCTCTCTCTCTCTCACATAGAGTTAGCATAACATACCTGTGAGAGAGAGAGGGGGGAAGGGGGCAAGAATTCAAGGAAAGGAAATGAAATGAAATGGAGTTTAACGTCCTTCTGTTCTGCTCCGAACTGGGCTAATGAAGACGGTATACGCCATACACTGTGCTATGAGGGAAATTTTGCCCGGACAGCGCACACTACGGCCTACTCTTATATCAAATTCAAACTGCCGAGGGATCTTTTACGTGCACGTCAATGTGTACACGGAAACTCAGCCCTCCGTCCTGTATCACTGGGAAAGTAACTTTAAGCTTACCTGCTGGCATTTGTAGCATACCCAATTATGAAAATCATCACCAATATTCTGTTGAAAAAGTTCAGCTGCTTTTAGATCACTTACAGCTTGTCTCAGCCATCGGACAGCATGATCCGGCATCGGTCTTGGTTCAGTCCGAGTCCAGGAATGGTGATGCCCACAACTTTCATCTGACCAGTAATGTTTAAAGTTTTTAGCATAGCTCCTTCCTCGTGAATACATGTTTTTATAGAAAGATCTATATGAATCATCATCTGAATTATAGTTTCTGGAACTTGAACTTGTGTGGCCATAATCAGTTTCATCAAGTTCATCTAACGAGAGACCATTGTTTAATCTCTTTACATACATGAATATCTTTTGGGTAATTTCAGTCGCCATTTTTTGATTATGTAGATTTTTATCAGGATGCCATAGCAATATCAGTCGTTTTAGGACTGCTTTTCTTTCTTTTTCTGGAAGTTTCCAAGCTTTTATTAAGGTCTTACGGATGCCCAGCAATATGGTTTCGATATCTTGACTAGATCCATCTAAATCATCTTCGTTCATTTTATCACTTAATTCCAATGTTCTAGATGTACTTTTTCGTGTTCGATGGAACTTGTAGATCTTGAAAAAGTAAACTTCTTTTAAATCGTCTTCACCAATATTTATGCTGAATGTAGCAAATTCCTCGTCTGTTTCTACTTTAACCTTTTTAACAATTTTGGCATATACATACATTGGTGAATATTCTACATAATCAGATTTTGTTTCTTCAAGATCAGGATCGTAAACTTCAAAACCAACATATTCACCTTCATAAAACTCACCAAAACCATTGTTCAACAGAAAGTGAAGATCTTTTGGAATCTCAGTACCTAGTTCAGGAAATATACTGGATGCTATTTCAGCATAATCAGAATGAATAATGTTTTTATCATTGAGGAATTCTGAAATTTTTGAGAGATTCATACTCCAAATGGCATTGAAAAGCATGATGTCTACACCACCGAGAACTCGATTCAGAAGAGCAATTAATGTTTTTGTGAGTTCATAGCCTTCTACATTGATTTCTTGATTGATGTATAAAATATAGTCTTTGGTGGATTTGTTTTGTTGGCTCAACTCTGACTCTACAAAGTATGCTGATTTTTTACATTCACTATTAGGTACCACCTTTCCTTCATAGACGAGTACCGTGGACAGGTTTTTATCTTCACATACCTTTATGTCTATAATGGTTTGGAGTTTATTTTTTATGGTTTCTTCATCATCAACTGGTATGTCAGCCTTATGTTGATAATGTTTCAGTAAACGCACTAAAGCATCACGCATTTCTTCACTTTTAAGCCTTTTACTCACTTCATTAGCAAGCTCACCAGATACTGCTCCTTGAATACAATCTTGATTTAGTCTTTCAGTTACAATTTTACTTAATCTCTTCATCTGGAATTTTTTTGGCCAGAAACGATGAATTCTGTTAGGATCAGGTATCTGCATTTCCAAACGTTTGTATCCAATAAAAAAGTCAATACAAAGCTGTTTAGTTCGGCTATAAATAGAATAGTCATCTATAAAGACAAGCTTCGTGGAATTTTTTAGCACATTTTGTTGATTTGGTAAAAACAATATCAGATTTTTCGACTCATCTTTTTGATCTGCATTCTTTTCCCATAGAATGTTCAATTGTTTGATGCATTTTTGAACAGCGACAGATTCATTGGGATCTAATTTCTCCCCATTACAGTTTTCTTCAATGCCACACAGAGCTTCAAGATATATGTCAGGAATGGCAGATTTTCTTACTCCAAGTGCCTCAAAGACATCAAAATATTTGCCATAATATATTGGTGCCTTAAATATGTGTCCATCGATAAGATCGTCTGGACTGATTTCTAGAATAACTGAGAAGCTGGAACAAGCAATTCATCATCAGGTAAAAATATAGTATGATAATCTTTAAGATTGTTAAGTTCCTCCCTAACTTCAGGTAACTTATCCTGTAGAAATTGATAATATGTTTCAAATAACTTCTTCTGGTCGTCTAAGCTAATTCTACTCGCAACTGATTTATCTGTCAGAGATGAACACACATTTTGCATATTTCTGATGAATGTGGTTGAATCCACATTTTGTGATATTCCTAACAGTTGGAACCAATTAACATAAAACTCGTCCCGTCTTGCTAAATCACAAATGTTTCTTTTCAGAACATTTTTCACCGACCAAATTAGATCAAAACGTTTGTAATCATATGAATCCTGGAATGCTATAAAATTTCTACAGCTGCCAAACTGTGAATTAATTTGTATTCTGTAGTCATCATCTGGTAAACTCTCTTGTTCAAGAAATTTGATGCTTTTTATTCTCGTGCAGATACTTTGTATGTTATTATCGTTTTTCTTTTTAAACAGATAATTGACAAGTACTAGTGATTGATTTTTTAATTTGTCCGTTACACCATTAGAAAGTGCTTCTTGGGCAATCGTTTCTGCAAAAAAGACAAAGTTATCTTCTGACACTTTATTTTTCAGTCCAGCGTGAATCAAGAATCGTCTCCATGTAGGGTCATTAAATGGTGGTGGTGGAAATTCAAGTAATTCATGCATCACATCAAATACTTCATTTTCCTTTTCATAGAAGGTTGAGGCTACTGTTTTTTCATTTCTGTATGAAATAAATTTGACTTGTGTTAGCATTTGAATTAATTTCTCTCTTTTGGGTTTAAAATCCCTTTCCATTTTGATCAACAGGTTGTCTTTAATGTACTGCAAATGACACAACTGGTCTTCATCACTAAAGCCATGAAAATACCTAAGAATATATGTTAAGTAGAGGTCTGCTGGTGAAGTATCTTCTATTCCAATGGTTTTAAATAGATCATCAAGCTTGCTGTGACGTTTTAGGATAATAACATTTGATACAGATGACCAGTCTTGAAAACCTTGTGAAGGTACTTGTGGGTAAGAATCCCTTAGTCTGATACATTTTTTCGGCATATTATTTAAGGTAATCAATTCACCATCATGTGTTTCATAAAGTTTTAATTCTTTTAATTTATTCTGGTAAGTCACCATTTTGTTTCTAAACTCATTAAAATATTGCAAAATGATTTCTGCTTCTTTGGTTTCTATTGATGCAAAGCAATTTGTGTTAGTGTATAATACTTCAAGGAGCCTTATTGGATGTTTCATATTCGCCACTATGTCACAGGCTCTGTACTCATGGTAGAGATCCAAGGCGAGATGGTGTAATTCTGGTAACCTTAAGTTTTTGAGAATCTTCGCTGTCTCCTTTAATACAGGCATTACATTCATATCACAGGGCGATAGATGTACATAGTCTATAACATTATCAGCTTGACTCAATGGATACAACTTAAACGTGTTACTCGCAGTTTTAACAGGAAGTATAGAAAAGGATTTAACTGGGTTCAAATGGTTTTCTAAAGATATTGATCCAAAGTTATCTGCTGATTTTTTTATATGATGGTTAAGAAAATTCCAGAGCATAACCAGCCATGGCTCACTTACAGGTTTTCCTCTCTTCCAAGATACCATTCTATCCTGACCAATAGAGAGATGTAAATCTGTTCCATTACACCAGTCCGCGAATTCTGCAATGCTCCATTCTTTAAGCGGTTTATATACTGAAACATAGTCTTCAAGAATGGGTAAAATATCTTGAGAAAGAAACCGGTCTGAATATTTCGGTAAAAGATCACAGAATTTTGATACAGTAACTACGCTGTCCTCACTAAAAACATCTAGTTGATGATTTTGTCGTAGTAAAAGTGGTGCCCCATACAAGAAGTCAATAGATTTGGAATCCTTATGGCTACTGTTTTGGGAGTATTCTTCCGTAATGACTTTCATCACAAACTCGAACACGATTTTCAAATTACCTACGCTTTTAAAAGAAGTTTGATTAACATCTCTTGGCAGTTCTCCTAAAATACATCCATTGGATTGCCCTTGATTTGTATGAGATTTTAGAAACTTCAATACCAACTCTGGACTAACAGTTTTAGCTCCTTTAATTTCTTGTCGAATCCAACCGGCAGATTTCAAAACTTTCATTCCCAGTGAGACCAAAATGTTCTCTAGATCTTCCAGTTGACGTGTAAGTTCAATTTCTTCATCAATTTTCGAGTGTGCTTTGTGGGAAGACAAAACTGTAGCATCTTGAGTTGTAGCATCTTGAATTGTGGCATATTGAGGTGTCTTCTTGGGTTTATAGTATTGATCAAGTGTGTTAAAACAACCAGCAAAGTCATCATCTATCTGAACTGGTACCCAGTTAATTTCAAACCAATTAGAAGTATCATCTAAAATAACAGGGAACAAGTTGAATCTACCGTTTGCTATTTTGTCATAAATGGATTTTACTAAATCTTTCCAATAATTGTCACTGGCATTGTTATTCTTCGGGAATAGAGATTCAAAGTGTCGGATCATTTGAAGTAAATCAATGGTCTCTGTACTGAATTGTCGAGCTGGCAAAGGATACAGTTTATACTCCTGTAGAGCAGATATGTAGGCTGGTACTACTAAAAATTTGCCAAGCTGAAAATTCCATAAATACTGAACTGAGTCCTCACTTTTCCACAAGTTTCTCCTAGACTCATGATCTAACGCAAATTGCCCATTTACATGAACAGGTAAACCTGTCTTCACTGGGAGAGGTAAAGTACAATAAGCTCTACCTGTAATTTTTGGTTTTGGAGACAAAAAAATAGCAACTCCACCTCTTGGTAGTTTTTGTAGCTGTCCATTCTCATAAGCATTCTGAAGTTTTTCAGGAAATGGAGAATTTGTGAGGAATCCAGCTTGCTTTACAATCAAATAATCTTCTTTCTTCTTCATGTTATCAGTTATTTGTAGTGTTATTGAAATTTCTTTTGGTGTTGTACTGAAAGCACCGTCTTTCTTCTGTTTAATTTTCATTGATATCTCTTTAAGGTAATGATTATAATCTTCCTGTTTGCTTACATCTTCACCAGACATTGTTGAAGCAACTTCATATTCAATTACCAATTCTTCTTCCCTAATTGAACCAATTTTTACTTTCTTTACGTTTTCTAAAAAGATCATACAGTCAAAAACTTGATCTTCTAGTAGTTTAACGACTTTTTCTATATCTTTTTCGTTAGTGTCTTCCCCTGAAATTTTGGATGATAATGCCATTTCTTTTGTGCGTAATGGTAAACGGAATAAAGTTCCCTGTGCCTTGTCCCTGGTTAACATTGGTAGATAACCTGTGTGAAAGTCAGCAAATGTTTCATGCAGATCTTTTGCATCTATCATCATCCCTGGCTTCTGTGGAGTTGCCATGGAAACATATTTGCAATGTGGATCAAAAATGCAGACAACCTCTCCTATTTTTCCACCTTTTGACCAAAATGATGGAGCGTCCGTTATATGATATACTACATTAAATCCTACTCCATACTGACCAGTCTTTAATATATCATCCCTCTTAGTTCCTATACCCAAATCTTGAATGCCTTTCAAATCCTGTTCTGTGAAATAGCTATCATTGTAAATGCATAAAGCAGGTCCCTGCATATCACTCCATTTCTCATTTGGTAAGGATTTTGCCGGAAGATTCCTGAAATCCTTTATGAAAATAACCTCTGTTGCACCAGCATCATCAGCATTTTGGAGAATTTCCTTTAAAATTGAGTCATCTCTTGGATAACCCTCAAGAATGCGATGAATACGACTGGTTAAATCCTCATGTTGTCCAAACTGAAAGAATTTATCAGATTTCGATAAGGAATTCACAGTCTGTTCACGTTTTGATTGAACTCCCATGGATCTTGCAACACGTTGCGTAAACTTCTCATGTAATGGCTTGATGTTTTTTGACCTGAATTGCAGCCAAGGAGTATCATCAAACCATAAGTCTTTGATTGGAGTTAATTTGTTTTCATCATCTGGTAGTTTAATCATTTGACTGTCAATTTTATTACCTGGTAGTAGTAGTTCTGGTAATGGCTCAGTTAAATGCACCATACATGTTATTTCAGCATCGGATAGCTCTTCACTACCTTTATCATTGACTATGCATACTAAAACTTCAAGTATTTTTGAGATGGTTAGTTTCTTTGTTACACCAATCAAACAGAAAAAGTCGGAATATTTCTTATATCTTGGGTTTATTGTATATAAATATGGAGAAAGATCAATGGGCAAGTTTAGCACAATCTCTTGTGGTCTCTTCATTGTGGTGTCTTGTAGAATAACTGCTGCATTTTTTAATTTCTCTTTAATGTAGGTATTGACTTCGTCATTTGTGTGTGATAAAATATAGTCATACATTTTCAACACAGACTTTTCTAACACCGGAAACATATGACTGAATGTTGAGTCTGATGTAATATAGTCATCTGATATCCGCAACAAATTACCAACAACTAATTGAACATCTGCTTCTTGTCTTACACCTAACCATTTCAAAACCTCAATTGAAACAGGGTTCCTATATTTGAAACTTTTTGTGTCAACAATTGGTAGTGTACATCCTACTAGTTTTGTTAATTCAGGCATGTATCCTTCGGTTGCAGAGATAAATTCACTATTATCTGTTTTCTTGCACCATGCATACATTTGACAAATAGAAAGTCGAGGTAAGAATCTTAAAGATGAAAGTTTTTCTCGAACATGATCTGGACAAACTTTAAATCTGTTAGATGTTTGGTCAACTCCTTTTCTGGTACAAGGTGATGATAAGTACCGAAGAAAATTGTTGCAAGTTTCTTAATGTGTTCATAATCTTCCGATTTTAATGCAACATCTATTCTTTCAGAAAGTAGTTTCCAGTCACTAAATTCATCCACCTGCATCCCTAGTGATTCTAGCGTTTCAAGAGATTGTAAACTATTGAAACTTTCTTCTGGAAAGCATTCTTCTGATTCAGAAAATAGTTCAGCCAGTTCTCCTTTTGGGTTTATGAGTTTGGATGGACGTGCTCGTTTACCATTTGGTTTTGTAGGAATACACTCATGGTTTGAAAAAAGTAACAATAAATCCTTGCTGCCATTATTAAGTCCATATAGAAGTAGTTTATCTAAATCTTCCTTCATCCAGTATCTATCTAATAAATGTGGAAAAACTATTTTGTCGTAGAACTCTTCTACTGAGATGACATACTCTTCTAAGAAGGGTCGGCATTCAGCATGCTCAAAATTCTCCCATATTGATGAAGGCAAGTCAATAAGATCAATTTGTCCTTTGTTCAAAGAATGTAAGAAGTTCTGCAAAGCTTTAAAAGCGATTGTTCCAACAGTGGTATCTTTCCTCAATTTTGGATCTAGAAAAACAGACTGTTTCAAAGAAGCAAGATGGAATTGTGGTGTTAAAAAAACATCATAATTTCCTTTACATATAGTTTGGTATACATGATGAGATAATATTTGATCATGCTTATGTGGAGAATTCATGGATGGCCAAATATTATAGTAATCTTGGGGTTCAGATCTTGTTTTCTGAGCTATTCTAGTGAGCATGTGTATATATGATTGACTACCGGCATCTTCTAAAAGCACTTTATTCCATTTATCTTCTGCATTGTCCAATTCATCTTCATTTCGCCATGCTAGTTCTCTTCTGCTCGACTGAACAGCAAACGATGCATTGACATGAACTGGTAACTCTGATAGAAGTGGTAAGGGAAGAAAACAAAAAAGATGTGACTCAGGGTAAAATCCATGAACATTTTGCCTATCTACTGACAAACTGTGGTTTTCCGATTGAATAGCTGTTGCAGCAACAGGAAGGAGTCCTTTAAAAGCTGGTTTCTTTGCTTCACTTAATGCTTTTCCTATCCCGTAACTCCAACTAATCAAAAATTCCTTGGAGTTTTCAACTGTGGTTGACAACTGAATTCGTATTTCTTCCATGATCTGCGGTTTTGGCCTTCCTGTGTCTTTTACCAATTCACTTTGCATATCCTTTAATTTTTTCAAAATAGTTGTTCCTGAATTATCAGAGAATTTGGAAACGGTCATAAGTTTTGTTGGAACATCTGAGCTTTCATCTAAATGGTACAATTCAACTTTAACAACTTTTTGAGTGAACATCAGCAAATTTCCAGCTCCTTCTTCAATTTTCTCTAAGAATTTCTCCATTTCTTCACTGGAATACGAAAAGTCCTTAATTTTACTTTTTCCAGCTTCAGATCTGTTACGGAGAGGAAACCGGAAAAGGGTTCCATCAAAGTTAACTTTACTCTTTGAGTCGCCAATTTTACAGTTAAAGACACCGTCGAATGGAACAAATTGACCTTTCATCTTCTTTCGTAATCGTTTATTGTAAGAATGGTTTAGGTTAAGTCGCAATCCACTCTTCCCAAGATGATTTTCGTGTGGATCGAACACTACATACGTTTCCCCAGAAATAAAACTAGGAACATCTGTTAGATTGTATACGGAATTGAAACCTAAGCCAAATCTACCAATTTTCAAACTGTCTTCCATTTTTGTAGCTCCAGCTAACTTGGTGATATTTTCAAAGTCATCTGAAGAAAATTGTGCATCATTATATGCCCAAAATGCAGGTCCTTGACATGGTACCATTCCTACATGAAATAGGAATGTTTGTGCATTATCTAGTGTTCGTTCATCATACAGAAATTTGACAACTGTTGCTCCAGCATCGTCAGCATTTTGTATGAGTTCTTTTGGTATTGTAAATCCATCACTGTAGTCCTTTAATAAATTTTTAATTCTTGTTGTTAATGGTTCTTTTTGTCCAAAGTTCATATCTAAAATGTCTGTCTGGTCTAGGATTCTTTCACTTAGGAAACGAACACAGAACTTTCTAGCTGTGGTCAATGAAATATTTGGATGAACAAAGTATATTCGGTCTGCTTCATTTTCATCATCATCATCATCATCGTAATAGTCTTGAGAATCTTCAAACACTGTACATTCGTTGGCAAACATCAGTAACAGAATACCATCAGCCTTGGTGCGCACAGGCAAAAGGATTTTCGTAACAACTTCTGGAAAGTCTTCTGTTAAGTTGGCAAATTTATTTACAATCTCTAAAACCAATGTCAGATCTTTCTGTGAAGACATTACACCACTACAGCTGGAGTCATGTTTCCTCTTAATTTGATGTAAAATGTTCAACATTAACTTATTTAAATCATCTTGTTGTGAAATCTTTTTACATCCAATAGACTCAAACCATTCTGCCAATTTAATCATACGATTTGGTACGGTAAACATATACATATAGGGTTCAAGACAAATCTCAATTTCAGGTGATTTCATTAACTGTATCCAAACTGTTTCTGGCGTCTGAAATCTGGTCTTTTCGCCCGTCCATACTACTTTTTCACACTTTAAATCTTTATAATCCTGGCTATGTAGATGGTGATAAATATTTTCAATTAAGGTCATGTATCTGGAATGCTCTTTATCACAATAGCTCTCCGACACATCTATAAGTTGTCTGGCCACTAATTTTGCTTCATTTGTTAATTGTTTTAACCTGAAACAAGGTGGCATTGTTTCTCTGGTTACGTAAGCGACTGCTCCAATCAGATGGGCATATTCAAAACTAAACATTTCACAGGGTTTTTTCAGCGTATATTGGTCTCCTTCTCCTACAAATTTCAGACTACCGGTAACTGGATAACCAGGTGGACGTTGAATAGCAATAGGAAAACAGGTACAGGATTCTAGAATACGTATTGTATCTAGTAGAAGTCTTTTATAATGTTTTGTAAGAAATTCAGAGAGGGCTAATGAAACTTCCAACAAAACAGAAGAATTTGGATTGTTTTCATGATATCGTCTTTCAATTTCCTTAGCCGTATGAATAATTTCACGATCAGTCACATCTTTTTCATGTCGTAATCCAAGTTTTTTCAGGACTGTTAATTTATACGGACACTTTTTCGGAAATTTATCCTGTTCAATTTGGAACAATTTTTGGAGAAGTTTTGATTCTGGATTAAATAACTCAGACGGTTTCTTGTACTTTGAAGACTCATATTCAACAAATTCAATTTGTTTTGCTAAATTAACTAGACCTTTTTGTGTCTCAAATAGATGGAAGTTTTCCATAAAATACGCCATGAATTGCTTTATTTCACTTAATGTATAAGAAGAGTTTAACCGTATCAAAATTTTTTCCACCATACTATAAAAAGATAACAATTTCACACCACACTTTTCAGCCACAATCTTGGTGTAATTATCCGAGCAGTATATGACCTCATCTACTGGGTTAATAGGAATTTTTGGATGGGTATCTTCCTCAACATACATAACATCAACTTTCTCTAAACATGTCTGTTTGTTAGAAATAGTTGCAAATAATTCTAATTTTCTTACCAATTCTTTGACTTTAGCAATATCTTGGACGGAACTTAGTCTAATAACTAAACTGTGCTTCTCCTCATCTGTGCTTGAAAAATTAAAGTTTTCGATTATCTCTTGCAAATATTCTTTTTGGGAAATCTTCTGTAGACAGTCCATTAAGCCAGAATCAGTTGGATATTGTACAAACCGACCTTCAACACATTCAGTAATTTTTTTGGGTAATGTCTTAAATACTACAATTCCCAAATTCTCTAATGCCTTTGAAACCTTTGTATTTAAAGATCCAACTCCCGATTGGGATTTTAAAATGGAGACGACATTTAATTTCTTAATTTCCCCATTCCCTGGCAATAAATGTAAATGACTGACATTCTTTATAATCTGTTCCTTCTCTTCACCGAGTTTACTTATGTAATTCCAAACACACAACAACCAATTACTAACTTCTTGTGTTAATGTCTTGTCATTTTCCCAACCATTTTGTATCGAACAGATTTCTAGCAGCTTACACAAGTCTTCTGGTTGAAAAACCTTCAGTTGGAATTTTCCTAAAACATAAATAAAATGAAATGAAATGGGGTTTAACGTCGTACTGTTTTGCTCCAAACTGGGCTAATGAGAGAGAGAGAGAGAGAAAAATGGGGTTTAAGGTCCACTAGACACAAACTAGGTCATTTCGGGACTAACAGGTGGTTTTAATTTTTTATTTCAATAACATGCTTGCGTGTAGGGGTCTTTAGCAGTGGGAGGAAACCAGAGGGCCCGGAGAAAACCCACGAGGTTAGACAGGCGACCCTACTCCTTGTCACGTACAACTGGGGATTCGAAACCACGCCAGTTGACTCAATGACAGGCTTTATGATTCAACGTGCACATGCTATCTTCCCTGGGCTAATGAAGACGGGCATACGCCATACAGTGTGCTATGAGGGAAATTTTGCCTACATCCTACTCTTATATCGAATTCCAACTGTCAAGGGATCTTTTACGTGCATGCCAATGTGTAAACGCGACCTCGGTTTTTTGTCCCATTCTAACGACTAGACAGCTGTCCTTGTCAGGCCCTCCGTCCTGCATCACTGGCAAGGGGAAACAACGCCGGAAAATCTGGATGAACTTTCTTGGCCAATGCAGGGATCGAACACCCGTTGAACTAAGTGAGGAATTAGCTGTATTCACCATTGAACGTAATTTTTCATTGATTACCTGGATAAAATTTATTAACCAAAGTGAAAGTAAAAATAGAAGCTATCATATCTGCATTTGTGGTTGCCCAGTTTTGGAGAAAGAGAGAGAGAAATGGGGTTTAACGTCCACCTGACACAAACTAGGTCATTTCGGGACTAACATATGGTTTAATTTTTTTATTTCAATAATTCGCTTGTGCGTAGGGGTCTTTAGCAGTAGGAGGAAACCGGAGGACCCAGAGAAAACCCACGAGGTTGGACAGGCAACCCCACTCCTTGTCACATACAACTGGGGATTCGAAACCAAGCCAGTTGACTGCCCCTTTTAGGATGTAAGGAGTAAGGAGTAAATTGAAGGTTTAATGGTACCGGTATTTTTATTTGTCAAATTCTGCAGTTTAATGTTGGTCAACCTGATTGAAACACAGATCCTATTTCGTTTTGTTTTTTTATATTTAAAAATTTGGTTTTACTTGTCTTTACTACACTAGGATCTGGAAGAGTTGTTATATAACAGGTGTTCTGGATGGCCTGAGGGATTACCCAATGAAACGGTCTGTTACGGCGACCTTTGGGCGTGTCTTGCACGGAACTGTGGTTAATCCACTAGAAACATCAATGCTGATTGGTTAATCAAATATCTGACGTCATAGGGTCGAAAGCCGCTTGTATGACCTATCGCTACAACTGGTCAGATGTTCATGTAGTAGAGGCCATCGAAAGTATAAAAAAACGAAACGAAATATAGATCTGTATGATTGAATATTGGTGTGTTGAAAACTGCTCCAACCTCGTGGGTTTTCTCCGGGTTCTCCGGTTTCCTCCCACTGCTAAAGACCCCTACGCGCAAGCGAATTATTGAAATAAAATTAAACCATATGTTAGTCCCGAAATGACCTGGTTTGTGTCGAGTGGAAGTTAAAACCCATTTCTCTCTCTCTCTTTGAAAACTGCTTCCCCCATTCTCTAAAATAAACATTCAACCTACCTTCGTCGGATAATTTTAGTAACTTTTTCTTTAGGCCTTGTTGTAACTCCAATTCTACAAAGTGAGCTTTCATGTTTGGGAACATTTTCTGTTCTGCATCATCTCCAAATATATAAATACACTGAGCATTAGAATCTTGAGTGAAAGTTGTAAACGTTCCGTCTGCTAGTGGTAGAAGTTCTAAATCATCTAATAACGTTGACTTTTGGTCCAGGAAATGTAGAAGTAGTTTTTGTTTTTGGTCAGTGTTCATGTTTTGGTATTTTCCTTGATTAAGTAATTCTAGTTTTAGTTCTGCTAAAGATGCATGCTTCAAATCTCCATGTTCTTTAAGACTTTCCATTATGTATTCGTCAACTTTAGCAATATTCATATCATGCAATATATATATATCTTCAACTGTTGGTGACAAACCGCAATCTGCAAACACTGCCTCTGTTGGACAGATCCATCTTCCCTGTCTATTCTTTGTGTAAATACAATTTAAGGAATAGAGATGATGATATACAGGATAAATTATAGACTTCCAATCCTCGCTAACTTTTAAGTGATTTGGCAGCAATGCATACAACTGATCTTTATCGATATCATGGCGTCTTTCCTCAGTAAGATGTCTTATTACCTCTGCAAAGGCACGTGGAAAAATTTCTTTTAGCATGAGCTGATTCCATTGTACTGCCTTTTCTGTATGGCTTCTATCATCATCTGATTCAGATGTCCATTTCAGATGATGCCTATCCTGACTTAATGAAAAAAATCCATTAACATGAAATGGCAGGCCTGTTTTGTTTCCTTTTGTAAAGGGTAGAGGAAGGAAACAAAAAATGTTTCCTGAAATTACTGGTTTAGACAATCGTACACCAACACTAACGTAAGGGCTATTTGACCAATTGGGATTACTTTGAAAGAAATTTTTTAATTCTGATGTGCCACCACCACCACCATGATAATAATCCACAACAGCCCAATCTTCTTCTGTAGCTGCAAGTTTCATCCATTCAAATCCTTTACAATGGACTCGAAATTTCAAACTCAAGGGCACTGCCGAAGGAGCCAGTTTTCCATTCAAATTCTTAATTTTTCTTCTAAAATCCCTCTTTTTTGTACCAATGTTGATCATATCATCTTTATCACCTACCAAGCTGACTTCCAACAATTTCTTTAACCGGTTTTTCTTTTCAAAAAGTTCGATAAAGTCAATTTGTTTTAGAAATAGAAGAATAGATGGAGCTAGCAATTTGAACCCATTAAAGATATCTTTGACTTTTCTTTCATCATAAGTTTCACTGGACAACTCTGACGTTTCAGAACGCAGTGGAAACCAAAACAGAGAACCTTGATAACCATTCTGGAATGTTTCCTCCGAAAATCCACAGATTCCATCCATCAGATTTAACATAGCCATCTTATTTTCTTGATCCACATCTTTAAGATCGAAGACTGGTGCCGTTTTTTTCTTTGCTTGAGGGTTCATAACCATTAATTTTAAACCACTTACTATCACTGGATTATCTGTGGGATAAAGATAGCAATACAACATAGGTTTGTCATGTAAAAAGATAGGTTGCCAGGCAACGAAATATACGTCCACAGCAGCTAAATCGTCTGGGCAGTCAACAAGTGTTGTCGCATATTTTTTACTTTTTTTGGTAATGAAACATTTATAATAAACTAAAATCTGATTAAGAGTAACAACTCATGAAGTAATTAACAATCTGAAGTCAATCGGATGATAACTTTAGCCTCTAGAGCGTCACAAGATTTTTCAAACTTTGGCAGTAATTATCGAAAATCATTGAAAATCAATAGGATTCGTTGTCTCATGACCTCAAACACTGTGTATAAATCTAAAGTCAATCGGATATTAACTTTAGCCTCTAGAGCATCCACAAGATTTTTTGAAGTGATCAAGGGCAGTAATTATCGGAAATTGCTGAAAATCAATAGGCTTCTTCGTCTTATGACCGTAAACAGTGCAGATAAATTTAAAGTCAATCGGATATTAACTTTGGCCTCTAGATAGGGTGACCTGTGCACTCTACAGAAAGTTGGTCTCGACACGGCTAAATGTGCACTCTTCAGTTGCGTGTCTCGAACTAATTTCTGACTACCCCGCACTCTCTTTGAGTCGATATATAGCCATGGCACGTGCAATTCTCTACAAATATATCAACTATTACAGCCGTAAACCAGCGGCTGCCAGGCAGGATACGCCCACATTTTTAAGAGATGGATAGAAAACAAGCTAAAACGAAAGTGATTTTTCCTACAATTAAGGGCCATAATTCAGGAAATTACAATTCGATATGCGCAAATATCGAAAGGAACCAAGATCTTTGAGTTATAAACTTACATTTCAAGTTTCAACAAAATCGGATAAAAATTGTGACCTCTATAGGGTCCACAACCTTGATATACCATATTTTTACGCAATTTGAGAACGAGGGGCGGCCATTTTGTCTGTCAGTTTTAGGTTGATTTTCACAAAATTCGAACTCAGTCATCGTTAGGGTGTAACGGTGATATAATAATACGGTTTTTTAAATCGGATAAAAATTATGACTTCTATAGGGGCCACAAGCTAAAAACGCGATTTTTCGTACGATCAGGGGCCATAATTCAGTAAGTTACGGTCTGATATGCGCGAATATCGAAAGGAACCAAGATCTTTGGGTAATAAACTTACATTTCAAGTTTCAACAAAATCGGATAAAATTTGTAACCTCTATAGGGTCCACAACCTTGATATACGATATTTTTACGCTATTTGAGAACGAAGGGCGGCCATTTTATCTGTCAGTTTTTGGCCGATTTTCACGAAATTCGAACTCAGTCGTCCTTAGGGTGTAACAGTGATATTATAATATCATTTTTTAAATCGGATAATAATTATGACCTCTATAGGGTCCACAAGCTAAAAACGTGATTTTTCATACAATCAGGGGCCATAATTCAGGAAGTTACAATCCGATATGCGTGAATATCGAAAGGAACCGAGATCTTTGTGTTATAAACTTACATTTCAAGTTTCAACAAAATCGGATAAAAATTGTGACCTCTATAGGGTCCACAACCTTGATATACCATATTTTTACGCTATTTGAGAACGAAGGGCGGCCATTTTATCTGTCAGTTTTTGGCCGATTTTCACGAAATTCGAACTCAGTCGTCCTTAGGGTGTAACGGTGATATTATAATATCATTTTTTAAATCGGATAATAATTATGACCTCTATAGGGTCCACAAGCTAAAAACGTGATTTTTCATACAATCAGGGGCCATAATTCAGGAAGTTACGGTAGAATATGCGCGAATATCAAAAGGAACCGAGATCTTTGGGTTATAAACTTACATTTCAAGTTTCAACAAAATCGGATAAAAATTGTGACCTCTATAGGGTCCACCAACCTTGATATACCATATTTTTACTCTATTTGAGAAAGAACAGCGGGAATTTTGTCTGTCAGTTTTGGGCCGATTTTCACGAAATTCGAACTCAGCTGTGCTTAGGGTGCAACGGTGATATATTAACACGGTTTTTTAAATCGGATAAAAATTATGACCTCTATAGGGTCCACAAGCCAAAAAACACGTTTTTGCGTACAATCAGGGGCCATAATTCATGAAGTTACGGTCCGATATGCGCGAATATCAAAAGGAAGTGAGATCTTTGTGTTATAAACTTACATTTAAAGTTTCAACAAAATCGGATAAAAATTGTGACCTCTATAGGGTTCACAACCTTGATATACCATATTTTTATGCTATTTGAGAACGAAGGGCGGCCATTTTGTCTGTCAGTTTTGGGCCGATTTTCACGAAATTCGAACTCAGCTGTGCTTAGGGTGTAACGGTGATATATTAACACGTTTTTTTAAATCGGATAAAAATTATGACCTCTATAGGGTCCACAAGCCAAAAAACACGTTTTTGCGTACAATCAGGGGCCATAATTCATGAAGTTACGGTCCGATATGCGCGAATATCAAAAGGAACCGAGATCTTTGGGTTATAAACTTACATTTCAAGTTTCAACAAAATCGGATAAAAATTGTGACCTCTACAGTGTTCACAAGCCAAAAACTTGATTTTTTGTACAATCAGGAGCCATAATCCATGAAGTTACGGTCCGATAGATGCCAATATCGAAAGGAACCGAGATCTTAGGGTGATAAACATATATTTCAAGTTTCATTGAAATCGAATAATTGTTCACAAACAATTGTGGACGGACGGACGGACGGACGGACAGGGGCGATGACAATATACGTCCACATGAAAATGTGGGCGTATAAAAATCTATTGTTGACGATTTTGAATAGCAGTAAAATTTAACTTCTTGGTTATTACAGCAGCTTTAGAAATTACGTTTGTTTTATTTTTTAAATTGCTTTACCATTAACTGTACCGTTAAGAGCGGCATCTTTTAGTTTAGTACAAATACTATCTCTGAATCACTTTCATTAGCAGGAACATAATACTAGCAGTAGTTTCATTTCACTTTTACAAGTTTCTTAAAACAACTGTTGAGCTAGCTAACGTGCTCATTTCTAAATTCAATTTATTGTTCTAGCTTTCTGTTATGTTTCGTAAAAAAGTAGTCTTGATTATCCCGACCTGTCAATCAGACGTAGAATGGTCGATAGACTGGTTAAGCGAGACTAATTTCAAAACAAGGGCACGTAACCTATCTTTTACTCAAAAGTATCTGGATGTTATTGTCGACATTTGGAACCAGTTTTCAGTCTATTATTTATAGATGATTAATGGTCATAGCTAATTAAGTACACGATGATCGTTTATTTAGTGACTATAATTGTGTGAAACTGATTTGAGGCTTGGCATATATATAAATATTGTGGCGTAATTGTCGACATATTTGGAGATATTTATTTATGGTGGGTCACCCTACTCTAGAGCGTCCACAAGATTTTTGAAGTGATCAAGGGCCATAACTCTGGCAGTAATTATATGAAATTGCTGAAAACCAATAGGCTTCTTCGTCTCATGACCTTAAACACTGTGTATAAATTTAAAGTCAATCGGATATTAACTTCAGCCTCTAGATCGTCCACAAGATTTTTTGAAGTGATCAAGGGCCATAACTCTGGCAGTAATTATCGGAAATCGCAAATTAGTCAAATACACTTTTTTGCATTTTTAAAATCTCCCAATTAATATGCACATTTCTGTTTAAGCGGTGTATCTCTACGCCAATTAGAACTGTTTTGTCCAAATGTTGTATCTTGATTTGTGGAAATTTTGAAATGCAAAAGGTTCTATTTCATAATCTTTAGAAATTCTTAAATACACCCTTTTGACACTTCACCGACGATATGCCCACCAGCAGCCAATGTAGCACTATCGTCGTTGCGACATTGTTTTTAAATTTATAGACAAAGAATAGAGAAATAAGATGACTTTATATTTCATTAATTAATAGTAATTAATATATTTGGCAAATTAATAGTTTTACACATATTCACATATATATTATATATAGTGTGTACTAAATCAACTTAGTCTGTAATTGACAGTTGACACATAAAAAGAGCTATTTAGCCAAAACATGTGTCAATAATATACCACCAGATTACACGTGAGTGGAATTATTCTAATTGCATCATTTGACTTAGAGTAACCAATCATATCGTTAATTGCACAGGTTAAGGGCCATGAACAGGCTTTCTGTGCCTGATATGCAGGAATCTTATAAAAGAAATCATAGTAAAGTTTTAAGTAAGACTACCATTAGATTTCAGAGAGGTTCCATCTGAGTTCTTAGACAGCCGCGAGGCTGGCTAGGGTTGAGAAATGGTTTTAGCTAATATTGTTATCTATTATGCTTGTATCCATATGTATTCGGCTATGCTATATAAAATGTAGAAGCGAACTGTTCCATTGTTATTCCTGGCAAGACAAACATCTTAAGAAAACAGTAAGAAAACTGTAAGAAGTAAATACACGACGTGAGGCAGAAGTAAAGACAGCTAGAGACAAATTCTAGACGATCACAAGGCTACAGAAATATGTAGTAAGAAAAGATGCATGGGTCATATGTAGGATGTGGCAACCAATTTTAGTGCATGTCCGCTCTCCACGTCAGACAAAAGACCTATGGTGCTACACCAAGTCATTGAAGCAGTTAATACAATCTGATTAAAATACTTTCGATGGCCAACACTACATGAGGATCGTCAAAGTTCATACCAGCGGTTTCTGACCCTATGACGTCAAGACATTTGAATAACCAATCCGCATTGATGTTTCTAGTGGGTTAGCCATAGTTCTGTGCACCTCATGCCAAAAACTCGCTGTAACAGACTGTTTCATTGGCTAATCCCACACATCATCCAGAATGCAGTTTATATAAAAACTCCTCTAGATCCTAGTATAGTAAAGACAAGTAAAACGAAATTTTGAACAATAAAAAACGAAACGAAATAGGATCCCTGTTTTAACCAGATTGCAGTTAATAATGAAA